TGTTGGGATTTTAATTGGAATTGCATTGTATCTGTATAGCTCTTTGGGAAGTATGGCCATTTTGACAATATTAATTTTGCCTATCCAAGAACATAGAAGATCTTTCCATCCTCTAAGGTCTTCTTCAATTTCTTTCTTTAGTGTTCTGTAGTTTTCATTGTAGAGGTCTTTCACCTTTTATTAAGTTAAATCCCAAGCATATATTTTTGAGGCTATTGTGAATGGGGTAGTTTTCCTAATTTCTCTGTCAGGATTCATCACTGATATATAGAAATGCATTTGATATATGGTGTTGATTTTATATCCTGCTACTTTGCTCAATTAATTAATTAATTCTACAAGTTTTCTGGTGGAGTTTTTGGATTCTCTAAGTATAAAATCATGTCACAAATAAATAATAATTGAATTCTTCATTTTCTATTTGTATCCTTTTAATTCCTTTCATCTGTCTAATTGCTCTGGGCAGAGTTTTTCAAGGACTATATTGAATAGAAGTGGTGAAAGAGGGCATCCCTGTCTTGTTCCAGTTTTTTGTTCCAACTTTTTGCCATTTAGAATGATGTTGGTCTTCAGTTTAGCATATATAGCTTTTACAATGTTGAAGTATGTTCCTACTATTCCTCAGTTTTCTAGTGTTTTGAACATGAAAGTGTGCTGTATTTTGTCAAATGTTTTCTCAGCATCAAGTGATATAATCATATGATTCTTATCTTTAAGTGTATTGATGTGATGAATTATATTTATTGATTTCCGTATGTTGAAACAACTTTGCAATCCTGGAATAAACACCACTTGATCATGGTGCACTATTTTTTAAATACGTTTTTGTATGCAATTTGCCAAAATTTTATTGAAATTTTTTAAATACTTTTCATTGTTGATGGACACAATACCTTTATTTTTTGTCTATTTTTATGTGGTGCCAGGGGTCAAACCCAGTACACCACACATGCTAGGCAAGTGCTCTACCACTGAATCACAACCCCGGTCCCATTTTTGAGAATTTTTGCACCAATGTTCATCACGGATATTGATCTGAAGCTTTCTTTCCTTGATGTGTCTCTGCCTGGTTTTGGTAACAGGATGATACCACCTTTGTAGAATGAGTTTGAAAGAATTCCTTCCTTTTCTATTTCATGGAATTATTTGAGTAGTGTTGGTGTTAATTATTCCTTTTAGGCCCTGTAGAACTCAGCTGTGAATCAGTCTGGTCCTGGGATTTTTTTGGTTAGTAGGCTTTTGATGGTATCTTCTATTTCCTTGCTTGAAATTGATCTGTATAAATTGTGTATGTCCTCTTGACTCAGTTTGGGTTGATCATATGCCACTGTAGTGTATCTTAACTCCAACCACAGTTTCTCTGCCTTCAGATATTTATCAAAGCTAAAAATCATACTTTAAAGATACATAAAGAAACAAAACAAATGGAAACTGTTGCATTTCATGAATAAACATTTAGGGTCACTCCAGGTGAACTGGGCTGCATGAAATAATCACACAGAGACAGAGAAATACCTTAGGTCTTGTGACAGCTCCTCCAACCTTAGGGGGTCCATGGAGAGAGAGAGAGAGAGAGAGAGAGAGAGAGAGAGAGAGAGAGAGAGAGAGAGAAAGAGAGAGAGAGAGAGGGAGAGAGAGAGAGAGAGAGAGAGAGAGAGAGAGAGAGAGAGAGCACATGCTGAACACTTTTATTGGGAAGAAGCCATTCAAATGAGGCAAGGGGTCAGATTTCAGGGACTGAGTCTACCTATGTGATGTCTGCTGTCAGCAGGTTGATTGACATCTGGGCAGGTCATGCCCATCTCATGAGCTGTATAGGGATCATGGCAGAGCAAGCAAAAAGACCACAGTGAGGTCAGCCCAAACAGCTGGGCAATGTTGGTTCAGTACACTTTGTGTGCTCAGTGCTCATAGTTCACACACACACACAGCCCATGGCTGGCTTGCCACATCTCCACATTCTCATCATTCAAGGTCAAGGGGCACTCAATTCCTAAATGGTAGCTCCCAAGAGAAAGCCAAGCTTGATCAAGGCTTCTTTCATGAACAACTTCAGTTGCCCTCAATTTTGTATTTCTGTTGAATCAAACACCCCCATATTGCCATTTGGCACCATAATGAACCAATCTGTATTCCAAGTAGTAACAGGTTAGTTGAAAAGGAAGATGAAGCAGTTAAATGAAATAAGAAAAATACAGTGACAATGGTATGGCCAAGCAATTCTGAGCAACATGATCTAGCATTAATGTCATCACATTCTAAGTCAGACAATATAATTCTGAAGCAAACTGACAATTAATATATTTACATGTAGAAAATACTTAAAAAACCACCAAAAAATCAACATATTTATATAACATTATTGTTAGAGTTAAGCATTTGCTAAGTTGATTAATTTCTCAATTACTCTTTCTGACATGCTGTGAGCAATTCAGCACCCTCCTTTAACAAGTACTAAGTTATTGTAGTTTAGATGCTTCTCTCAAAGTCTTGAAACCACATAAATCATTTGAACAAGGAAAATTTAACATAGACCTACTCATGGCTGAGGCCCTGAATTTAATCCCCAGCACAGAGAAAAAAGAAAAAGAATCGAATAAAAAAAAGGAGTTAACTACTAAAAGAAATAAAAGAAGCCTCAAAAGAATGCAGAAATGGCATATATAGGGAAAAGATAGTAGTACCTCTGGATTGAGGCAGAGTAGCCAAGGAAGGAAAAAAATGTATGACAAGGTCGCCAATGAGACTGAGGTGCAGAATTCATTGGGGAAGATGGAACCATGGCCCACTGGAAGGTTGAAATGGATCTGTAATGCTCCAACTCACCAGGTGTCCTCTTTCATAATACCCCCGCTCCAACATTTGTGACACCAAATGTTTGGAGGTTTCCACACCAATTCTCTGCATATATCACGGTGTCCTATAATTCAATTAAGGAATTACAAGAGAGTCCTACAGGTTAAGTGGAACCCACAGTCTTAAAAGTATGCCCCCCCATGTCTTCAGATGACAATCACAAGATGGCTCCTCAAGTTACCCACCTGTTTCTGAAGTTCCTGTCACTGTAAGGAGGTCCAATGTAGTCTCTCCAGTGGCAAAGAAAACCTATACTCAGGACTTTCAGACCCTTGCCCATACCACAGAAAAGAATGTAAGGATGTGTTTGGCTTTAGTAATGAGAAGAAGAGCATCATGAGAAAGTGAAAAGTGAATATAGAAACCCTCAGAGAATAATGTGGGCAATCTCAAGAGGAAGAAGAACCACACCACCAGGGATTAAGGTCAGATTATTTTATAGGGTACAAAGGTAGAATATATGATCCAAAGGGACAGGACTTCCCTGGAGACTGGGAAATATTGAGTAACATGGTTTCCCATTAGGAAATCTAGTCTGCTATGTTGTTTTCATCTGATATTTGATCAGGTATTTGACCCAATCAAATGTTAGCCCCTATCTTTATGAGGTTAGTAGTGTCTTTCTTTTGAAAACTTTTTCCTGCTTTGCTGCATTCCAGAAAATCTATACAGAACTGAAAACTTACAAAGTAATTTTTGAGATTGTTTGGTACATTTTTACCTTTGGTCTCTTTCCTTCCCTTAATATTCTTTGTCCAGGTCAGGAGCAGTACACAAGTTATTGTTCCACATCCCAACAGGCACATTTCTCCTTTAGAGCCTTTTTTAGTATCCTAAATTTCTATCTCATTCCAAATAATCATCTTCCATTCCCATGATCCATTCTTAGATTGGGTGATTTTCTACATACATTTTCTATACAGGCTCAGAAAATCAACAGAAACAACTTTGTTTACTAACCAATTTAGTATAAAAGATCTTGTAAAGGATACAGTGAATAGCCAGATGAAATGCACATAGGGTGAGGCCCAGAAAAGCCTGGAGCACAGGAATACCTATCCTGTGGTGGAGTTTGAGAGGCAGCACCCCCAGAAACATGAATACATTGTTGTTCATCAACTCAGAAGCTCCCTCAATATTTTATGGATATTTCATTGTGTCATTATGATTGATCAAATCATTGACTGCTTGCAATTAATTAACTCAACCTTCAGCTCTATTTTTGTCCCCTCTTTCACTTTTTATTCATAAAATTTGTTCCTTTGGTAACCTGCCCCCATCCTGAGGTGACCCAGGGGCTTTCTAAAAATTGTCTTATTAACATAAACTCAGATGGCTGAAAGGGGCTTATTATTAAAAACAATAGACTCTCCCTTCATCTAAACAGAAAATTCCAAGGTTTTTAAGAGATGTTTTCAGGAATCAGGGAGAGAAATCACTTTTTAGGAACCTAGGACAGAGACTAAAAATACAGATAAATACATCAATATAGACATTTCTTACTATGTCACCAAAAGGTGGGCCTTCTGTACACCACCGCAAGTTGCAACAAAAATGGTGGCCCATGCCTGTAATCCCAGCATTTTTGAGCCTGAGGCAGGAGTATCACAAGTTCAAAGCCAGCCTCAGCAACTTATCCATGCCCTAAGCAACATAGGAAATGTAGGATAAGATTGTCTCAAATTTTTAAAGGCGGGGGTTGGGTGCTGGGATTGTAGCTCACTGTTGATGCAAGTGTGCAGAATGGGCTTTAATCCTCAGCACCACATTAAAAAATAAACTAAATAAAGGTATTGTGTTCATCCACTACTAAAGAAAACTATTTTTAAACAATATAGTTTGGGATTGTTGCTAAATGATTAAGCATCCCTGGTAACAAAAAAGAAAAAAAGGAAAGGAAAGGAAAGAGAAGGGAAAAAAAGGGAAGGGAAGGGAAGGGAAGAAAAAAGAAATTAAGAAAGAAATTATGAAAGAAAGAAAGAAAGAATTAACGTGCCTTGCAGTGGCCCTTCCAGTGCATTGTACCAACAATCTCACATTGTGTCAGATGGCAAAGAAGTGTTTACAAGATCCAGTTCCAAGAACACAAAGAACACCCACATGGAGTAGATTTGGAACACAAATGCAATGAAATGATACTGGACTCTGTCCACACCTTTGACTTTATTTTTGCATACATTTTACACCATATTACAAACATTTGAACTTCCATAAGACAACAAATCTACATGACAAAGCCACCTGACAAATGAAGAGGTTCTCATCTGTTCCCCCACATGAAGAAAGAAGCACTATCAGTCACTGTACACTACACTGTTATATTATCTACTCTTCAGATTCAGTCAGTCTCAATGAATATACTGTTACCTAAAAGATAACAATTTGTATAGAAAATCATGAATATAAGAAGAGAGAAAGCAAATGGTCAATATTCACAAATATACACATATATGCCACAAGCAAAGAGAAAATACACAAAGCTATTAAAGTCCTTGTTTCTAGAAGGACTGTGTAATTATATGTACTTTCTATATATCTTTCAAATCCCAAACTGTGTTGTCTCTTCCCCAGTCAGAACAACTGGTCATGATTGTTCACTTGGTAGAGTGAACACATCTTTATTCTTGCAGTTGTAGTATAGACACAAAGTGAGAATGTAAGGAAAAGTCAAAGAGGGTAGCAGGAAGGGGGATATGATCAAAGTACAATATATGCATGTATGAAATTGTCACAATAAGAACCAATATTTTATACAATGAATATATACTAATAGCTTTTTAAGGAGGGGGCCCATTGTCTTATCCTGAATTAACATATCACAACACTCTCAGTGGTACCAGAAATTTACTGAATTATGGAAAAATAGGCATGTTATATTCATCTCAGAATAGGAAGCAGATAACATAAAATGTTGGACTCTTCTCTTAAAACTCCATCATTCATTGTAGTTTGGAACTGAAATATCCCCCAAAGGCTCATGTGTTAAAAGTTTGGTCCCCAGCTCGTGGCCCTTTGGGAGGTGGTAGAAATTTCAATAGGTGGGGACTAGGAAAGAGGAAGGAAGTAGGTAACTGTGACTGTGTCCTTGAAGACTATGTCTTGGCCCCTTATCTATATATTACTCTCTCTCTCTCTCTCTCTCTCTCTCTCTCTCTCTCTATCTCTCTCTCTCTCTCTCTCTTCTCTCTCATTCTTTCTCCTCTCCTTCTCCTTCCCTCCCCTCTCTCCCCCTCACTCTCTCTCTCTCTCCCTCTCTTGCCTTCTGTCTGCCATAAGGTGAGCCACTCACTCCACCACCTGCTCCCATACATTCTACCTCAGAAATAATGCAGCCAGGTGACTATGGGCTGAAACCTCTAAAACTGTGAGGAAAATAAATCTCTCCTCCTTTAGGTTGATTTTCTCTGTATTTTGTCACAGAGACAAAAAAAATGAATAACACACCTTTCCATTTCACTGGAAATTTTTGGATAATGAACTGTCATCTGATAGTCCAAATATGCAAAAATAGAACTGAGGACCACGCTCAACCTCAAGGTTCCTCTACACACATGCAGGTGCAGTAATGTAATCTCTCCTTTGTTTGAATTTTTTATTTTGTTTTGTTTTGTTTTTGGAAACAGAGTATCATTATGTTGGCCAGGCTGGTCTCAAACATGTGGGATAAATTGATCCACGTGCCTTAGCCTCCACAGTAGATGGGACTATAGGTATATGCTGCCACAGCTGCTTGAAATACTTATTAATACCAAAAAAATAGGGCGCCTCAGTTAAATTGCACATTCTCTAAACCAGTTACAAAATAGCCAAATTTTACCTTCTGCTATCTGAATATAAGATATGAACTGAACTCTCATAACCACACATCTATCTAAAGTCTTAACACAGAGCAGAAGGACAAGCCCACTGAACAGTCCAAGTCTCATATCACAGGCTTTTTACACAGGGAGTCTATAGCCCCAGAAGTGCTACAGTGAGGGATCACAGACAGCAAGGGATCCTATGTGGACAAAACCTGAGAGTGTCAGGGAAGTAACAGAGATTCAGCCTCTGGGGGAGCTCCATCAACACCACAACCTGAGCTGAACCCCTCCATTGGGGTGCTCAGGGTTTCCTCCAAAGGAGGAAAATTGTTAAGGGGTACAGGGAGCCCTTCAGACCCACTTTCCATGGAGCAGACGGTCATGGACACAGCTCCATACATAATCATTAAGTATGGAAACAGAGCTCCAGAAAAGGAGGCTGGAGGGAAAGAGAAAATGTGGGACCCATCAATCATGTTATAGAAGGAGACATCCCCTTCACTGTAGTCCAGGAAAACCCCCACCCTGAAAAGATCCTGCATAGAAGATAACCAAGTCTCAGGATTAGTTAGGGCAAAATAACTCTTGTTAACTTTCCCCATGACCCAAAATCCCCTTTGTGGTGATTCCAGGTAGTTGCCTTTTCTCCGCACATCTTTCCTACAGACTCCCAGAGTCCACCTGCTGTGTAATTCATTCTCTATCTTCACTTCCCAGTACCATCTTCCTGATGTGATGCCCTCAAGACCCAACACACTGCATTTTTCATCACAGTACACAGAGGGGTCCTTCCAGGTCAGAAGCATCTTTTCATGACAAACAGAAAGCCTGTGGTGAGCAGAGTCTGGATCCAGAGTGACAGGCCCTGTTGAGAGAATTATCAGTCATGCAAGGTCCTCTCCCACCCCAAAACAAAGCACACAGCCACCCACCACCTCACAGCCATATAGCTGCCTGAGCAGAGGAGGGGATAATTCTTCTGAGATATGAGTCTTGTAACTCAAGCCCACATCAACAACCAGGAGAAGGAGCCAGAGGCTGATTTGGGGGGCAGACTTGTGACAGGACCCTTGAAAACCAGTACCAGTGTTGTGACCACCACTTCTGCCACAGCAACACCATTGGTGATGCCAGCACCTGAATCACGACAGAGAACTTAAGGAGAAGCCAGAAGCCATGAGGGCAACAGGAGGAACATCTAGAAGCACACAGTCACTCACAGGCTTGGAACCGTTCCTTCCGCCAATCTACAAAAGAACACACATCTCATGTCAGGGATTTGCAGAGTCCTTACACATCAGGGTCAGCACCCAGTCTTCTGAAACACAGCAATGTGGGAGGAAGAAGGGAAAAATATGTTTGAAAACATTCACCTGCTGTATTTGTTTCTTACACACACACACACACACACACACACACAACACCCACACTTCCCATGAAGACTAAGCCTAAAGCTTAACACCTCAGGATCAAAATGCGGGATATCAATATGAAAAGTCACTGTTCAGATTTAGCTACCAAATAATGCTTTCTCAAGACAAAGACACACAACAATCCTGAAAACTGGGTTATCTTGAGATACAATTAAGGTTATAAAATTTCAAAGACCTCCATTTACTTATAAAGAACTGACTTGCTGAACTTGTAAGGTTAATTCTAAGCCATGAGTAGAGAATTACATCTAGCTAAGCTGAACTTGGAGGATGACAATAAATCATGAGTGCAGGGAACTCAGAGAAATCTTACCCATTTAGGTGGCAATGGAGAGGGTTTTAAGATGGGAGAGAAAGAAGTTCAAAGCAGGAAACAAATATATCCAGTGAGAGGTCAATACTAGTGACTTTTCTTCCACTTCGAAAAGACCAATAAGAGAAAAACATCCTTACATATGTGGGAGAACCCCAAAATATTGGACCTACTCATTTGCCTCCCAAAAGAATTGCCTGAAGAGTTTCAAAACTTCCAGCTATAATAGAACCCATAATCCTAAACTCCAGAGTGTGTGAATGTGTGAAATCCATGACTAGGCCACTTTAAAAATGTGACTAAGATTCAGGTTCTTGAGCAGGGGAGATTATTCTGGATTCTCTGGGGCAGTCCAAACTAATCTCATGAACCCTTGTGAATAGAGAGAGACCTGTATTGGCTGTATCAAAGAAGCAGATAGAATCACAGAAACAAGGTCAAATCCATGCTGTGCTGCTGGATTTGAAGATGGAAGAACAGGCTCCCAAATGAGAGAATACAGATGGCCTCTAGAAATGCACAAGACAACAGCCTCCACAAAGGAACACAGCCTTGTGCACACCTTCTTGGATTTTCTGGCCTACAAACATGTAAGATAATATATTTGTGTTGGTTTAAGATACTAACTGTTTTTAATATTTATTTTTTAGTTGTAATTGTCAATACCTTTATTTTTTTTTAATGTGGTGCTGAGAATCAAACCCAGAGCCTCGCACATGCTCGGCGAGCACTCTACCACTGAGCCACAACCCAGACTCAAGCTACTAATTTTGTAGTAACTTGGCAGCAAATAGAAAACTAATATGCCCACATAGATAACACACCCCTTGTGGAACAAAGCACTGGCAGAGAAATGTGCTGACAGAAACCATGAACCTCCCTGTCTCCTGCACTTAGGAAGCTGAGTACCAGGAAAATCTCACATTCTCTGCTAGATGGTGAAAAGACAGGGGCCCAGTGAGCCAGTAAACCAGAAAAGGTCTAAAGATCAGAGGAAAAAGTCCAGTGGCAACCAAGAATCAGTGACACCGACCTTGGACTTTACCTCAGGGTCAGGGGAAGGGGGACCAAGCAATGTGATGAGAACTGCCTTTTCTCAGGAGACACCAACCCAAGAGTCTTATGAACCAGTTCAGACTAGCCTCCTGATGGAGAGGACCTGAAATACCTAGGAGAAAACACATTGTCCCTCTTCCCCCAGCGTCCCAAGGCCACATCAGTCTCCTAAAACCACCATACTCCCTTTTGGGAAGAGGTCAGGAAGGTAGTTGAACAAAGCAAAGTCTACATATGTCATACACTCCAAAATGTCTTCAACTGGAAAGCTTTTGCCTCCAACATGGCAGAGCCTTAGGAACAAGATTAGAATGATTAACATAATAACTAAGCAACATTTTTCTTTCTTAAAGATTTTTGTTTAAATTTGTTCTCCCCATTTCCACTAATATATGTTCAATCACCTACATGGGTATTTCCATCTTTGTTGAGTTGCTTGATAGAATCTAGATCATATAAAATGGCTGAGCAGGCCCAGATGACCCTTGGAGAAAAGTAAACTTTGCTCATTTTTTACTAAGACATTAGTTGAAATTCAATTATAATTTTCTATATAATAACTGACTGAGATTATCAAAGAAGAAGAAAAGAGAGGAAAAGGAAGCAGACGAGGGAGAAAAGGAGAAGGACTGAAAGAGAAAAGAAAACCTTTTGAGACTCTCCAGTGTGTCAAGTACCATGCTATGCACCTTAATGCAGCCTTCATATAATTACAACAGAAAATTTTAATTTATAACTCATTGTTACAATTTCATGAACAAGATGAAATAGAGATTTGTCCACCTCACACTATGCACCTGTCAATATGACAGTGTTGATTCTAGTATACCAATGGTGTTTATCCTTACAAAATAAAAGAGTATGCAAGTGTTACATGAAAACTTATAGACATTAATACAGCAGAAAATGGGGAGATGGTTAAAAAAAGACTACGTGATCCTTCTTTTTAAATAAACATGTCCCCAGGAAAATCATTAAAATTCTCAAAGAGTGTTCCTCAGATATTTGAATTCAAAGCCTCCTTGATGCCATGACTCATCCTTCTCTGTCTCTCACAGTCTATATCCCTGATGCCAAAAGAAACATCCAGAGCAGGAAAAGGGCATATTATAAAATTTAGATGGCAGAGGTACTAAACTCACCCCCAGAGTTAAAGAGTCCTCTGGATTATCTTTCATTGCATAGGAAACTACCTTAGCATATGCCTGTCCTAACTGCTACTGGAAGGTGGAGGTGGTCTCATTATCACAAACTCAATGAGATGATTAGTTAGAAATGGCTTAATGGAATTCACACACACACACACACACACACAAAAAAAAATGTATTCACTGAAAACTCTCAAAGATGTATCAAGGAGTTGGTTACATTTCAGGCACACAAAAAACCCACAAATCCTCTTCACACTCAACTCTAACCACCTTGGATGGGATTTTCCATCTCTCACTGCTTCAGCACACCCAAAATGTCTATGTGAATCTTGGGCACTCTACTTTCTTTCTCACCTCCTCTCTCCTCCCACCTCATCCTTTCTTTTCTGATTTGTTCCAACCCTTTCTCAGGTAAACAATATGAAACTCTCCAGGTTTCTCTTTTTATGATCTTTACACATTTAAAAAAATCAAAGACCAACACACAAATGAAAAATTTCTTAAAAGCAAAGAAATAGTGAACATCATAAATTGCATTGTGTTCCTTATATACAAACACAGGTTTTGAATATAATTTCAAATGGTTCACAGATCCCCTAAACATCCTGGACCCCAAATTCAGAACACCAGAAACTCATTTCTCAGAAACCAAGGTGCTTGGAAGAAACCCAGCTAGGACAGCGAGTCAGAGTAGGAGGTGGCTGAAAGAAGATCAATATCCAGAGGACCAGAAAACAAAAACAAAAACAAAAACAAGAAAACCAAACCTGGAGCCAAACAATAGGAATTTGGGGTAAAGGGAATAGAGAACCAAGGCCCCACATTATGAAGATGAAATTCCTAAACTGTCAAATATGATTTCTGAAGTTTTTTGGAGACCAGCAATTCCTATCCCTAGTTCCAACCCTGTTCCATCCAGGCTCTGCTCACAACTGAACTCTCCAGTGTCACTGTACCAACAGTTAAACACGATTGAAGAACTAAAATCAAAATTTAAAAAGACATTTGGGAAATTACAAAAAATGAAGAATAATAGGGCTGAGGTTGTGGCTCAGAAGTAGAGTGCTCACCTACCATGCATGAGGCACTGGGTTCATTCCTCAGCACCACATAAAAATAAAATAAAGGTATTGTGTCCATCTACAACTAAAAAAAATGTTTAAAAAACTGAAGAGTGTTTAAAAGATAGGAATATGAGGTAACTTCTTTGATCCAAACAGAAGAAGTCCCTGCGGTCTTCCAATGCAAGTTACAATCATTTTTCTCTCCATTTAGGAGAATTTTGCTTTCCTATTGTGCTTGGCTTTAGTTAGTTTGGGCAGGGGGCAGATTAATGTGTGATGATTATGAAAGAAAAAAAAAAAAAACAAGAGAAGTTAAAAGTGTTAACTGGGAGGGGTGGGAAACAAAGAAGAGAGAGCAGGAAACCTCATCCCATCCTGGGTGGAGGACACTGATAAGGAAGGTCAGAGGTGGATCCAGGAGGAGGGAAGGCCAAGGAAACATCAGAGTTACTTACCTGCATACAGTGGGGCCTTCCTCCAGGCTGAAAGGGAACACACGGTGGTGAGACCACAGCTAAAACAAGCCTGCTCAGCATGAATGTTCCTGCCCTGGCCTCCCTCCATTTTAAAGATGAGACTACCCACAGGAGGAGAGAGCCAGAAAGAGATGGCCTCATGTAGTATACAGGGACCACAGGGTGTTGTGGGAAATCCCCTGGACCATAGATGAAGACAGCAGCTTTACAGGCCAATTGCTGCCATTGCCCCACTGATTTCTATCTGTCAGAAAACCATCTGCCTCAAAACTCATAAAAGTCCATATTCTATTTGTCTTTATTCAGTTTTGCCACTAAGGATAAAAATTATGCTATGTATGAAAATATTTGAGAGAATGAAATATAATTCACTCTGCAATTGTCAGGGGTATTATTATTATATCCAGGATTTTTCTGGCAAAGATATATTTGAAAAGGGGTGGGGATGTACACCGTGGTAGAGGGCTTGTCAAGCATGCACGAGGCTCCAGGTGCATGCCTCAGCACCACAAAATGAAAAAAATAAAATTTAAATTTGAAAAGACACTTGGGAGATTACCAAATATGAATAATGATTTAAAGACAGCAATAAGTTCTGGGGTAAAACTGCCCAATTTTTCACTTTGGTAAATATTTCTAGACAATAAGAACCAGTTTTCAGGAAGTACTTGGTTCACTCCACCACATTTCCACCTGTGATGAGCAGCCCCCTTGAATTAGCACCTTCAGGAGCTAGAGAAAACATAATCCCTCACTGTCAATTTGTAGGGACACAAACAGAAGGTCACACTTCTAAACTTAATGACACCATGTACTTATATAGATCATTTAATAAAATCATACTATATGCCTTTAATCTTTTAGGTGGAGTCCAACAGCTAGATGCATTGAAGGAAAAAAAAAAACAAAATAATGGGCAATCCAGGGTTGAAATAAGATGCAGAATTCATGACACACCATGGGTCACCATCACACCCAGGTTTCGAAGCACTAGGTAGGAAATAGCAGCCAAGGTCTAAGAAAGTCCAGGGACCAGTGTTCTGGCTTCCACTAGCTTCCCAGGGATGGGGCCCCACATGTCTGTGCCTAGACAGAAACAAGTACAGGGGACACCAGGACACAGGTAAGATAAGGAAACAAGCATTTTCTGGAGAGTCACTTACCAGACAGATAAGCTTCTTTCCTCTGATCTGAAAAACAACAAGAAAGAAGGGAGCTTGGAACTAGAATATGTGCTACCAAGGAAACAGAAAATTCAGAAAGGAAAGAAGAACTTACAGAGGTCTGCCTTGAGTTCATCTAAAAAAAAAATGAAAAAAAGTATGAACACCCATCCCCAAGAAAAGGAAAGACTGTGCCTGGAAAAATCTAGGAATAATGTTTCTGTTCACTAGAATTTCTAACTATAAAACCACCCAACCCCACCAGTCTCTAGATCTCCACTCTGATCTACTCAGTTACCTCCTCTGGGCCCAGGACCATGGGTCTCCCTAGAGAGCTGGACCCCAGACTCTGGCCCCTGTCAGCTGTCCCTCACCACCAGGTTTGCACTTGCCCTTTGTGGTCTTACCAATGGTCTTCAGCACCTCTTCCTTTGCCTGCTGTTTCTCCTCCTTAAGCCGCCACAGATGATCCTTTTCCTGCCTCACCTGCATCCTTCTAGAATGTGCTTTTCTGATAAAACAGCAAGCCCCCAAGAGTAGGAGCCCCAGCATGGTCAGGATCACAGCAAATGCTGGCTTCCAGGGAGAGGCCTGAGGGAAGAAGGGCTCTGTGGCCCAGGCAGACAGAGGTCAGGGGCACACCCAGGAGAGCCAGCACACTCAGAGAGGCCAGCCCCTCCCCACAGCTCTGCTGGGAGTGGGAAGCAGCACTGACCTGGGATGTAAATAGCCATGGCCTTCTCCTGGTCCAGGACAGGGTTGAGGACAGAGCAGGTCACATTCCCCACAGAACTGTCTCTCACCACCAGAGTGGCCTCCACACTAAACAGCTCCTCAGTGTCTTGGGTGTGAGCCTCAGAAAGCGCTGGGAACTTCTTTCCACTGAGGTCTCTCCACTGCACCTGGGGCTTTGGGAACCATCCTGAGGCTTTGCACACCACACGGACTCCATCCTCTTCTGGCCCTTCTATGTGCACTTGGGGATCAGAGCCCATCCCTGGAAGGAAGGAAGCTGTGGAGCCCCAGGAGGCCACCTTGGGCCCTGAGACCCCAGAGTTGCCTAGATATCACAAAACTTCAGAGGGAAGGATTCATGTTGAATTCTGAGAATTCTATGGGAAGAGGGAAGAAAAGGAAGGAGCACAGGGACCCCCACAGGGCAGCGGGCTCTTCTCCCCAACTGTGAGGCCAAGGTAAACAGGAAGAATTCGGTCCCAGGGCTCCCTCCTTGAATCTCACTCTTCTCACTTCACACACTCTCCTGAGACATCTGCCTCTCTGTATATCACGTCCAAAATTATATTGACTGACCACCTTGACTCCTGAATTCTCTTCTCCTACACCCATGTTCCCATGAGTTATCTTTACCCAGTTTCCTCACATACACTTCAAACTCAAAACTCCAAACTGAATTCATAAACGTGGACCACTTGTGATAAAACAAAAATTAAAATCTCCCTAATTCCTCACCCTTCTTTATACCTAGTTCTCCCACTTGCACACACTTTTTACAGCCTTTATCGTCTGCCTCTGGGCCCAGGCATGGGATTTTATTTAGCCAATAAGAAATTAGCTAATGTGACTAGTGCAGAGGTTTGAAAAGCACTTGCACCTTGGTTTTACCCTCTGCCATTTCCACAGGAAGACAATCCTGGGCTACCCAGTGGAGAATGGACTCATGTGACATTGCCTGGTCAACCTGCTACAGCTTCCCTAGTTCAGCCAAATGACCACCTAAAACATAAGCACACCCAATCAATACGCACCTGGTGAACTTTTCAGCTGACTTAAGAACAAATAAAAATTACAAGTAAAAAGCTTAATTCTCCCTGTTGAATAAAAGATTTTATTCTTTTTTCTTACACCATTTGCTTTAGGAAATGTCAATTACAAATAGGTACTTTCTCCTCTTTTGAAATGTTTATATATGATTTTGAAAACTGGTTAGGTTTCTGCCAGCTTTGTGGCTCAGGAATTCCTTTCTCAAGGACCTGGGAGCCATTTCTTTGAAATGTACACATCAGGGAAGATAGCAACACTTTGCCCCCTTTTTGTGGAAAGATAGGAGCCTAACTTATGTGGGTATCTTGCTCTAAGTTATAAAACTGCTTCCTGTCATAAAGCTGGAGGAGTTTATTTTGCTTCCAGATAAAGCCTATTAGATGACACATATGGTCTCCCAAACAACCAGGTAAATTTAGGATGAGTTTTATGGAACAAGAGTGCTTTGGGCCATCTTAGTTGAGGATTACTCATTGTTCATCTTGAAAACAAATATACAGGAGATTATATATGATTGGCTCTAAAGAGAATGATGAAATTATTTTTCTGGTTGTGTAATCCATTCACAGATCACCATACTATGTATCACACTCTGGTTTGATGCTTATTCAGTAATAAAAGTGTTTTCTCCTAGCATGGAAGGGATATCCTGGTTGTAATTATGTTTCTGAAATATGACCAAAGATGTGAGTAAACCCAGGTGAGATAAGCCAAGTTCAGCCCCAATTAGTTGAACTCACTTAGTGCCTGAATTAAATACATTTTTATTGCCAAATGCACCCAAGATTGGGGCTGTTTGTTACACAGCATTATCACAGCAGTAGAACTGACACATAATTATCAATAGTCCTGCCACGAAACAACAAATGGTTCAAATAAAATCCTGGAAGTCTCTGAACTCTTCTTCTCCCCTTCCAAACTCTGTGCCCACAAATCTACTCAGTTGACTCTAGTTTCTAAACCTGTCTGACCCCTCCTCTCCCATTCCACTGCCATGCCTCAGGTCAGGCACTCATTTTCTCCACATCATAACTGCACTCCATGCCTCCTTCTTGCTCACCTCCAATCCTCCCATTCACAGCTGCCAACATGAGCATTCCCAGCATGGCTCTGTTTAGGATTCCCCCTACTCTGCATCCAAACTCCATAACACAGCACACAAAGCCTTTACTGATCTGGTATCTGTCTTCCTCTCCAACACTTGTCCCCAAACTCCACCATCTGAGACACTCAGGGCCCACATACTCAATTCCAAGAACTATCTGCTCAAATGCAAGTAGCCACCATCACCATGTTGTCTGCCCTCTGCCTTTTCACCTTCCATCCCATCAACTTCCAGGGCTTTTGTGCCAGCCCGGGTGTCCACTCCTAATGATCTCATCCTGACACCTGTGACTGGTGTTAATACACGACCATCTCTTTATTCCAGTATTGCCACTTCTTACCATCCTCCTCCTCACTCCTCCTACCAACCATGATGGCCTCATTATACCCAGAATAATCAACCATACTCCTACTTCAAAGGTTTCATACCAGGTGCTCCCTCTGCATTAAACTCTGGCCCCACAGATATCCACCTGGCTAAATACCGACTTCCTTTGAGCCTTGCTCAGACTGTCAATAAGGCTCTGCCTGAGTCCCTATGTAACACTACAGCTGGTCCTAACTTCTCAGCCCACATCCTGTGCCCCTTTCTTAATTCTATTTGGTCTTTTGTCTTAAATACTTATCACCTTATAACATATTATACTGAGTTATTTATTATAATTTTTCTTCCTTTGTCTCTTGAAAGTAAACTCCTCACAGCTGGGATCTCTGTTACACTGATATATCTCTGGGCACAGGATAAGTCCTGACATATTTTAGATGCCCCTAAACAGTGCTTGTATTGAATCAATGAATAAAAGATGAGTCACTTTTTTTCTTTCATTTCACCTATAAAATGTGAGGCTTAATTTGGATGATTCTTAATGTTCCCACCAAACCCAGTACTCCCAAGGTCTCTAGAATAGACATCAAGTAACTAACCTGCCACCTTCACTTCCAAATCAGCCTCTTCATAGAAGCCTCCATGTCTGAAGAAGCAGGTGTACATTCCATTGTCAGAAACCTGGACCTTGTGGATGTGCACAGAAGCCTGCCCTTCTAAAAGGAAGTCCCTCACCAGTGAGGTCCGCCCTCTGTACTCATCCATCTGCTCTTCAGTCTGTTCTTGTTGGTTCCAGTAGATGAACACTGCCTGTGAGAGTGTGGTGCGGAACCACCCCAGTTCCATGTTCTCTGCATTCATGGCTGGGAGTAGGGCACAGGGCAGTATGGCATCCTCGCCCAGCACTGCCACAATGGGATGTCGAGGGCCAACAACCTGGAACTGCTCTGTGGACACAGACATAGGGGGAAGGAAGCTAGAGAGACAGACCAAAAAACAGAGAACACACACCACCAGGTGGGAAGGCTAGGAAAGCTGGGACAGGGGCCACATGAGATGAGCCCTCCAGTCTGATAGATTTGGAAGAGGTCTTCTGATCATAATGATGTGGACAGAAATGATGTCAAGGACAATCCCTCATTGTCTTCTGCTCCTGGTCCCAGGCCCTTCCATGAAGTAATCTCTAATTCAGTGGTTCTCAAGCTTTCAAGCTCCTGAACCACTAGGATGCCTTACGGAGCACACATAACTGGACCCCACTCCAGAGCATCTCATTCACTATATCTGGGGTGGGCCAATGAATGTGCATGTACAAGAAGTTCCAAGGGTGGTCTGGGGAGCACACATTGGGAACCCCAGGATTAACTTGTCCTGTCTCAGGACAAACCTCAAAACTGACAAAGAGCACACCTGACAAAAGGTCAGCACTCTTTGATCATTCAGTCACACCCTGGAAATTCCCCTCTTCCAATTCTAAATTTTTTACTTCAGTCTATATTTTTCTCCTCCACTGAGGGAGGAGAGAAATACATATGCACTTTAAAACACAGAGTCAAATGCTACTTACTGCTGTGAAAATCCTGCTCTCGTCATTCACAGAAACCCCCATCACTTCATGTTCAAGAAGCAGTTCACCTCACTCTCCACCCCCTTGGTGCTCTTGGGCTTCTGAGGCTACCACATGACTCCTCTGCAGGACATGCTGCAATGGGCCTCCAAAGAGCAACTCTCAAACCCTGTGTCTCTCCACTCTGGTCTCAGCCACTTTTTTTTTTTTTTTGGTCTGATCTTTTTTTTTTTTTTATTGGTTGTTCAAAACATTACAAAGCTCTTGACATATCATATTTCATACATTAGATTCAAGTTGGTTATGAACTCCCAATTTTATCCAAAATACAGATTGCAGAATCACATCGGTTACACATCCACATTTTTACATAATGCCCTATTAGTAACTGTTGTATTCTGCTACCTTTCCTATCCTCTACTATCCCCCCTCCCCTCCCCTCCCATCTTCTCTCTCTACCCCATCTACTGTAATTCATTTCTCTCCTTGTTTATTTTCCCATTCCCCTCACAACCTCTTATATGTAATTTTGTATAACAATGAGGGTCTCCCTCCATTACCATGCAATTTCCCTTTTCTCTCCCTTTCCCTCCCACCTCATGTCTCTGTTTAATGTTAATCTTTTCTTCCTGCTCTTCCTCCCTGCTCTGTTCTTAGTTGCTCTCTCAGCCACTTTTAAATCTCAACTGGAGAATGACTAAGATTCCTGATCTCAGTGATCCTTTTAACATGTGAGCTAATCCATGTTGCTGCTCTGCTCAAAGCCTCCACATGGCTTCCCACTTCTCCCCAGGCCTGACAAGGTGGACCCTCTTCCCAAGACCCCTCTGAACCCACCTGCTGCTTCTCTCCCCATGGAATCTAGTCCAACAACACTGGCCTCTGTGCTTCCTCACACCTCAGCACACTGCCAGCTCTGCATGGGCTCCTCCTGCAGGAATCCTTCTTCTAAATGGTACTACAACTCACTCCTCCTTCTCCAGGGTTATGTTCCCATCTACACACCACCTCACTGAACACTGCTGCCTACCCACACCTGCCTCCCATGCTCCTGACTGCCCACACCCTGCCCTGCTGCATTTCCCATCCTGGTCATCTCCTCCAATAAACTTAGGCCTCTCTACCTACTATTACTCACTCTCTCCAACTAGAAGGCAAACTTTATGACAGAATTTCTGTCTGATTCTTTCATAGAATTCCACCTAACAATCAACATTTCATTAATATTTCAGGAATAAAATGAATGAATGAAAGCTCGCAGCACCAAAAAAAAAGCCAAGAAAACAAAAAAAAATGAGGAAAATGTATTTTCAAATGTTTTTCTATCTTGATTTTTAAAACCACAAAGGAAAACAGATGGGGACACTCACCTGTGGACAGCTGGACAAGGAGAAGCAGGGAAGCGAGACAGCAGAGCAAGGAGCGACTGCAGCGCCCTTCCATATCTTTAGAGCTGGGGAGAGAGATGGGGATGAGGGCCGAGACCTGCAGGCAGGAGGCAGGTCCAGCCCAGAGCTCCAGCACCTCAGCATAGAGAGCAGGGCTCAGGGCTGGACAGCAGTCCCCTGCTGGAGCAAAGCATTTCCTAGTGGCACACCATACTAAGAAGATGCTAGGCCCCCCACTACCCTGACACTGACAAACAGCTGAGCCCAGGATCCTTCCAGCTCTTCTGAGAAGATTGTGGTATCAGGAAACCATTAGAGTTCCCTGGTAAGAAAATGTTCCTTTCTTTCCCAGGCCAACTCAGGGCAGCTCTACTCATCCCAGAACACCAGGCTCTTCCATTCCCCATACCTGGAGCACTGTGGTGGAAGCCATTCCTATATCTCTCTGTTATTCACACACCACTCATGACCCCCCAGAAAGGAGGGCCCAGATTCAGGGCTCTCATCAGGAAGGATATCCAGCTCCTGCTTCTCTCTTGTTCTGCCCCCTAGTTATGCCCAGGTTTGGCCTGGGCAGTGTCAGAGACACACACATCTTCAAGGAGGCTGTGGTTCCCATCACAGGAGCCCAGAACCCTGTCCTGCCTTTTTAGATGTGGAGTTCACCTAAACCTGAATCTCAGCCCATCCCTTCCACTGTGGGCTCAGGACATGGTGCTTCATTGGCCGCACATATCCCCACCAACAGGTTTCTCCTTTCCTTCTGTTTCTTCAAGAAAGATTTCATCCTGAGAGGTAAGGGACCCTTCCTGGAGACAGAGCATAGAGCTAATGAGCCCTGGTCAGAGAAAAGACCCCAAATCACCTACTGTTTGGAAGTGGCAGGGAGAAGGTAGTCTGTGGTATTGGGAAGAACAAATTCTGGGAGCCAACTTCTAGGCTGCCCTCCAGACTCAGCCACTCTCCAAATGAACTTCTTGGCCTCCATTTCCTTATCTGTATGATGGGCATACTTACAACATCTACCCCCCAAGTTTGTAATGAAAATGAGGTGAATTTATAGTCACTACATGTAATTAGAACAGGGCCTGGGCCCAGAAAATGTTACAGAAATATCATTAAAACAAACGAATATAGGAACAACCCTTATTAAGCTTCTTCTGGTTCTTCCTAGAACAAGACAGTCCCACCTACCCACTCCCACTGCCTCTCGCACCAGCTCATCCGCAGCTTCTTTCTGCCACCAGCTTCTCCCTGGTTTCCTCCTCTTAGGTCAGAGGTATCTTCAAGGCCAACTTACCTGCTTCTGTGTTCTCCCACCTATGAAAGGCTGTGACTTCCTGGAGCGTCTCTAAACACAGCAGCTGGAGATAGGTCAGAGTCACAAGGACCCCAGCAGGCCCCAAAGCTGCCCTCAGAATTTGCAGCTGCCCCAAACTGCACTTAGAGCCCTACCCTCTGCTTCTGAATCCAATGCTGGGGTCCCAAATTCCTCATTTCCAAAAGGCAGTTGGTCCCCAGGAATAGGGGGAAAAAGCAGAGCCAGACATAAGTTGCAGTGATCTCTGCAGAGTCTCTGACACGGGGACCCCACTAAGCCCTCCCAGTTAGAGGAGCAACCCCTCTCTGGTTCCTTCCACCATCTAAAGCGAAAGCTTGCAAAGGGAGCCTGAGCAGAGTGTGCCCTGCCCTCTGGACATTGCTCCCTTTACCAGGAAGAAAGCAGCACAGCAGAGCAGCAAAAAGAGGGTACCCACAATTTTCCTGGAACACTGCAGAACAACCCACTTAGAGGTGAAATGCCACAACCACCCCCACAATGCCACCACCAATCCCTGCCCTAAGGGCAAACTGTAACTTGGAAATGTTAGGGACATGAAAAAGAAGAAAACAAAATTATATGGAATCCTTACTAATTATCAAGAGCTGTGCTACATAAATTTTACTTATGGTTCTCATTATTACAATTGCAGAGATAAAGCCATGAGCACTGCCATCTGATAATATCAATCTAGTAACTTCCTAGAGGAGGGAGAGGCTAGATGTGCCAGGAGACTGCCTCCCACCACCACATCTCTAGCCCAGCCCAGCCCCCTGCCCCAGGTAACTCAAGTGAGCAAGATCCTGAAAGGGACCTTGGACTCTCAGTTGCCTCAATTACATGGCCAGAAAGCTTATCTCACCCTGACCTGAGCATTCTCCCTCCCAAGGTGCACTTTGCCTTCCATTTGAGGAGGAGGGGGTGGAAGTGGTGACAAAGTGCAGGTCAGGTCTCCTTAAAGAACACTGGCAGAATACCTGACCAGCACTGGCAGGGGACACCGAACATCAGCACTGTCCTCTCCCAGCTCATCAGGATTGCCATTCACCTGCTTTGACAAGAAACACTATTCAGTAAACTACAAATAATTTTCTTGTATAAACTTAAATGATCCTAATACTAATGAGGTTAATATTAACTTTCTTTTATGACCAACATGTAATAAATACCTCTTATCTTTTCCCATATTAAATGTTTTCTAAATAGCTTCGGATAATAGCCAAAACCATAAAACAATGGTTAATGTAAAATGTATTAAATTCATTGAGATTCTAAAAATGTGACAGTTGATATAAAGTGTTTAACTCTCCCATACCCCCAATTCAGTTCATACTGCGGATTGAACACATCCTGAAATATCCAACCACCAGTATCTGAGAGACCTCCTTATGCCTCTCTCTCTTAGTGGAGCCTGGCCCTGGCCCAGCCCCACCCTGAATTCAGCTACTGAGCCCTCCTGACTGGAGCACCTGCCCCATCACCTTCTGCATGAGCGATTCACCCGTTCCTCATCTGAGATTCCAGGGACATAAAGTATCCCTCCCACTAAAGCCCTGAGATAGAGAAGGGCAAGGGAGTGAGGCTAGAGGGAGAAAAATATACATGCCTATAGAGAATTGAGTGAAATGTATTAGACTAATGAAAAGCAAACAATAAATAAAAATTTAAAAGGAAAAGACAGCCAACTGAGAGAAAGCTACCATAAAAAGAAAGGAGCAGGGCTGTGTGTGTGGCTCAGTGGTGGAGCCCTTGGCCAGCACATGTGAGGCACTGGGTTTGATCCTCTGCACCACATAAAAGTAAATGAAATAAAGGTATTGTGTTCATCTACAACTAATTTTTTTTAAGAAAAGGGAGGCTGGAAGGTCATACCTGGCATTTGGTCTGCCTATTAGGAGATGTGACACCAGAACGGACACATGGGCCCAGAGTATCTGAAACATGTTCCCCAGTTACTCCAAGTCAGATCAGTTGCAGAGAGCCAGCACAGGCACTGACCATATGTGTGACCCATCAGTGACCTGGAAAGAATTCACTGATGTTCCCAATCCCAGGTAGGTCAGGCCCATGTATGTTCAAGGGTGAAACAGGTGAGTCCCAGTGGAGGGATTTCAGAACTGGATCATGGAAAAAGGCCTAGAGGTCTCAAAGGTTGACCTCTGCCCCTCAGAGAAGTAGAGGGGGGCCCAGGGCAAGAGAGTCCCTGTCTAGCCCCATGAGGCACATTCTAACACTCCCTAGAATGGTGCACACCTTGTTCCTGTCCTGTCACAGAGACTCCTCCTCTCAGGCACAGACAGGGCCTCTGCTCTCCAATAACCACCAAGAAATACTTCGGCACACCATTCACTGAGGGTCATTTTACCTTGAACATTTTATACCTCATTCCCATGATGATTTAGTACAATACCATGAGGTGGTTCTCACTGTCCTCATTCTAGAGCTGAAGGATGGTGACTCTACAATAGTGGAAGATATCCAAGGTCACAGGGTCACATGGACAAACACTGACAGGGGCAGGTCTGTCCCAAGGCACAGTCTAAATCTGAAAGAGTTGGGGGCACCAGCACTTGGAATGCTCCAGGGACCTGGGGGGAGGGAGGCAAAAGGGAAGGTAAAGAGTACATCAGAACTTCTATCATAAAAATTTTACCCTTATATCTATTTGTTCTTATACGCTGAATAATATGTGTACATATTTGTTAGCTGCATTTTCAAAATACATAACTTTTAAGGAGGGCATGTGAGGTTGGTGTTGTGGTTCAGTGGTAGAGCACTTGCCTAGCATGTGTGAGGCACCTAGTCCAACTGTCAGCCCCACATATAAATAAATAAAATAAAAGTTCATTGACAAATAAAAAAATATTTTTTTTAAAAAAAGGAGGGCATGTCCAGAACCATTTGGAAACTCCCTCCCAGAGAGGAAGGAACGACAAGATCCAGCAAGAGGGTGCACCATGGATGCCAGATCACTCTTGGGCCAATGGAAAGGCCACCCAGGCAGTATCACCCGGTTTCCTCGGCTTCTGCTGCTCCCTTGTGGCTAGAATGTGGCAGAGAGAAAGGCAATTTCCAGAAGGAAGACAGAGAAGGTATGAAGGTGCAGACAAGAAATCTTAAAACTGTGGTGCTAGGGTTGTGACTCAGGGGTAGTGAGCTTACCTAGCATGTGCGAGGCATTAGGTTCAATCCTCAGCACCACATTAAAAAAAAGCATGTGAATAAAATCAAGTTTTAAAAAAAGGAATCTTAAAAATGTGGAAGGGATTAAAGGAAACAAGACATAAATAAAATGCCAGATGCTGTAGGATTCCAAATATGTGAAGTTAAAGAATAGACAGATGGAAGCTGTGGTGACAGAGTCAGATGAGGAGCTCTCTGGCAGGCTGAGGAGGTAGTTAAGACAAGAAGAGGTATCAGGGTGCCTCCTGGGGTGAGGGAAGATTTCATATCTTAATTTGGGGTGCTTCCTCAGGTATACACACATGGAAACTGTGTAACTGGAAACTAAAGATCAGTGCATTTAAGAAAAAGAAAAAGCTGATCATAATGGCACACACATATAAATCCAGCAGCTCAAGAGGCTGAGACAAGAGGATTACAAATTGGAGGCCAGACTCAGCAATTTAGCAAGGATCTAGACAACTGAGTAAGACTCTGTCTCAAAATAAAAAATAGAAATGGCTGGGAATGTGCCTCAGTGATTAAGCACCCCTTGGTTTCATCCCTACTAGAAAAATATTTCTACCTACCTAAAAACATTGTGTAAGGTGAATAGTTTTTTTCTCTTCTCTCTCTCTCTCTCTCTCTCTCTCTCTCTCTCTATATATATATATATATATATATATATATATATATATATATATATATTTGAAGTAGAGATTGAACCCACGGGTGCTTAATCACAGAGGCACATTCCCAGTGATTTTATATATATATATATAAAGCGTTTTTGGGACAGGATAAGAGAAAAAAAGCTATTCACCTTACACAAAGTTTTTAGGCAGGTAAAACTTATGTATGGTAAAAGTAACCCTGGAAAATCCTTTTAACACACATTAAGCATACATAAGCTTTTTCAGCTTACAGTTTTAGTCTTCATTGTTAGAGTCTGTAAACAAGTCAAAAATAACACCTGGCATTTTGCCAGGGGAATGTTAGAGTTCGTAAACAAGTCTGGATGGTGCCTGGCAAAATGCCAGAGGGAGTGGTTTGAGAAGTAACAAAAGCGAGCCATTAAGTGTGGAGATTCCTTATTGGTTGACTGATGTATCTAGTTTATGCTAATTAGATAAGCTCTGTGGAATGTATAAATACTGCTCCTGTCCTGCAATAAACGGCTCCCACTCATGCTGTATCAATGCACACAAGTTGTTCGTCACCCCCCTGTTATTTTGCTGCAGCCGGACTGCGGCATTCATTATTTGATTGATGTCCAAATTTCCTCTGGAATATAAATTTCATGGTGGTGTGCATGTGTTCCCAAAGCCTGGGATTACTGAGCCTGTCATATCCTGGCTATTTAATACATATTTGTTCAGTGAATATAACTGATCACATGGATTGCCCTGATGCTTTGGGGTGCCTCAGCTCATCATGGGGGAGCACATGCTGGAGCAAAACCTCTCATCTCGACTGGCTGCTCTGAAAAGCCATCTTTGCATTGTTCCTGGGTACAGCTCCCCACTGCCACAACACCTCCACGCGCCTCCTCTGCAGCCACGGACTCCGGCAGCTTTATCGCCACAGTCCCTGCACTCTAGTTTCCTTTTTAACCCACTGTATGGGATCACTGGCACGCTCCACCATGTCAGACGTGGCCTGTGGACACTAGCTCTGAAATCACCACCAAGTACTTAAAGGAGAAGAAGGAAATTGTGGAGGAGGCAGAGAATGGAAGAGACCCCCTGCTAATGGGAATGTTAAAGAGGAAAATGGGGAGCAGGAGGCTGACAATGAGGTAGATGAAGAAGAGGAAGAGGGTGGTGAGGAAAAGGAGGAGGAGGAAGGTGATGGTGAGGAAGAGGATGCAGATGAAGATGAGGAGGCTGAGGCAGCTACGGGAAAATGGGCAGCTAATGATGATGAGGATGATATTGATACCAAGAAGAAGACCGATGAGGAAGACTAGACAGCAAAAAAGGAAAAGTTAAACTAAAAATAAAAGGCCACCGTGACCTATTCACCCTCCACTTCCCGTCTCAGAATCTAAACGTGGTCACCTTCCAGTAGAGAGGCCTGCCCACCCGCTGGCCCACCTCGAGCAGTGCCACCAGCAGATGACATGGGCTCTTCACCACCCAATGAAAATTACAACGTGAATTTGCAACAGGGGAGGAAAACAGAACCAATACTTCCAAGGCCCTGCTTTTTTTCTTAAAAGTACTTTGAAAAAGGAAAACTTGTTTATATTTTTTATTTGCATTTTATAATTTTGTTAGGGATCAGCCATTTTTAATGATCTTGGATGACCAAACCAGCCTTTGGAGCATTCTCTGTCCTAATTCTGACTTTACTTGTGATGTGACCATGTTCATTATAATCTCAAAGGAAAAAATGAAAAAAAATTGTAAAAAAAAAAAAAAATCTTATTCTGAGCATTCCAGTAACTTTTTTGTGTGTATGTACTTTAGCTGTACTATAAGTAGTTGGTTTTATATGAGCTGGTCCACTTTTAAAAAGATTTATTTCTATTTTGTATAGATGAAATCATGTTATCTGCATACCATCTTTTCTGTTTCAAAAAACGTGTGCCTGTAGCTCCTTCAAAAATAATATAGTTCATAAATGTACAGGCTAAATGGAAGGAAGGATATGACAAGTAATATTCTTCTGTTTTTTTTAATACTTTATATGGTAAAAATACTATCTTGTTCAAATACAAAATTATATACTGCTATGATCATGGTTCTCAGGATGATGTAAGTAGTCACTATCTCCACAATTTTTCACTGTAGTGTATCTTTTTTTTAATTAGGTACATATGACAGCAAAATTAATTTTGATTCATTATACACATTGCAGGACAAATTTTCATTTCTCTGCTGTACGCTATGTAGCCTCACACCCTATGTGCAGTCTTACATGTACCTAGGGTAATGATTTCCATCTCATTCCACCATCTTTCCTGCCCACATGGCCTTTCTCCACCCTCCCTCCCCTTTACCCAATCAAACTTCCTCCATTTTCCCCATGCCTCTCCCTCCCCATTTTGGACCAGAATCCACTTATCAGAGAGAACATTCGGCGTTTGGATTTTTGGAATTGGCTTATTTCGCTTATCATGATATTGTTCAACTCCATCCATTTACCTGCAAATGCCATGATTTTATTCTCTTCTAATGCTGAGTAATAGTCTTTTATGTGTATATACCATAGTTTATTCATCCATTCATCTACTGAAGGACATCTAGGTTGCTTCCACAATTGAACTATTGTGAATTGAGCTGCTATGAACATGATGTGGCTGTGTTACTACATCCTTTGGGTATAGACAAAGGATTGGGTCAAATGGTGGTTTCATCCCAAGTTTTCTAAGTAATCTCCATACTGCTTTCCATATTGATTGCACCATTTTTTAAAATTTAATTGATTTTATTTTTTAAATACACAACAGTGGAATGCATTACAATTCTTATTACACATATAGATCACAATTTTTCAAATCTTTGTATATAAAGTATGTTCATGCCAATTCATGTCTTTACATATGTACTTTGTTTTTTTTTTTGCATTGCAATTCTTATTACACATATATACCACAATTTTAATATCTCTGTATATAAAGTAGATTGATACCCAATTCATGTCTTCATACATGTACTTTGGATAATGATGTCCATCACATTCCACCATCCTTGCTAATCCCCAGCCTCCTCTATTTCTCTCCCACACCTCTCCCCTATCTAGAATTCATCTGATCCTTCCATGCTCCCCCTTCCTACCCCACTATGAGTCAGCCTATTTATATCAGGGAAAACATTTGGCATTAGTTTTTTGGGGGGATTGGCTAACTTCACTTAACAATATCTTCTCCAGCGCCATCCATTTACCTGCAAATGCCATGATTTATTCTCTTTTATTGCTGAGTAAAATTTCATTTAATTTTTATCCATTCATCCAATGAAGGGCATCTAGGTTGGCTCCACAGTTTAGCTATTGTGGAGTGGTTGTACCAATTTGCAGTCCCACCAGCAATGTATGAGTGTACCTTTCCCCCCCACATCCTCACCAACATTTATTATTGTCTGTTTCTTGATAACTGCCATTCTGACTGGTGTGAGATGAAATTTTAGAGTAGTTTTGATTCCCATTTCTCTAATTACTAGAAATGTTGAACATTTTTTATATATTTGTTGATTGAATGTATATCTTCTTCTGAAAAGTATCCATTCAGCTCCTTAGCCCATTTGTTGATTGGATTGTCTGGTTTGTTTGTTTTAATTTTTTGTAATTTAATTTTTGTAATTTAATTTTTTGTTCTTTATAAATCCTGGTGATTAGTGCTCTATCTGACGTGTGCATGGCAAAAATTTGCTCCAAAAACATAGGCTCTCTTCACCTCATTGATTGTTTCTTTTACTGAGAAGAAGCTTTTTAGTTTGAGTCCATCCCATTTATTAATTCTTGATTTTATTTCTTGTGCTTTAGGACTCTTTTTTAAGGAAGTCAGGGCCTAATCTGACCTGATTAAGATTTGGGCCTACTTTTTTCTCTATTAGGCGCAGGGTCTCTGGACTAATTCCTAGGTTCTTGATCCACTTTGAGTTGAGTTTTGTGCATGGAGAGAGTTGGGGGTTTATTTTCATTTTGCTGCATATGGATTTCCAGTTCTCCCAGCACCATTTGTTGAAGAGGCTATCTATTCGGTACTATTGTCTAGTATAAGATAACTATATTTATTTGGGTTTGTCTCTGTGCCCTCTATTCTGTACCATTGGTCTACATGTCTATATAGATGCTAATACCATGCTGTTTTTGATACTGTAGCTTTGTAGTATAGTTTAAGGTCTGGTATTGTGATGCCTCCTGCTTAATTCTTCTTCATAAGGATTGCTTTGGCTATTCTGAGTCTCTTATTTTACCAAATAAATTTCATAATTGCCTTTTCTATTTCTATAAGGGATTACATTGGAATTTTAATTGGAATCGCATTGAATCTGTATAGTGTTTTGGGTAGTGTGGCCATTTTGACAATATTAATTTTGCCTATCCAAGAGCATGGGAGATTTTTTTCATCTTCTAAGATCTCCTTCAATTTCATTTTTTAGTGTTCTGTAGTTTTCATTGTAGAGGTTTTTCACCTATTTGGATACGTTCATTCCCAAGGATTTTATATATTTTTTGAGGCCACTGCAAATGGGATAAGTTTCCTAATTTCTCTGTCAGAGTACATCATTGATGTACAGAAATGCATTTGATATATGGGTATTGATTTTATATCCTTCTACTTTGCTGAATTTATTCATTAATTCCACAAGTTTTCCGGGGGAAGTTTATTAGACCCTCTAAGTATAGAATCATGTCACCAACACATAATAATTTGAGTTCTTTTTCTATTTGTATCCTTTTAATTTCCTTCATCTGTCTAATTGCTCTGGCCAGAGTTTTTCAAGGACTATATTGAATAGAAGTGGTGAAAGGGGGCATCCCTGTCTTGTTCCAGTTTTTAGAAACAATGCTTCCAAGTTTTCGCCTTTTAGAATGATGTTGGCCTAGGGTTTAGCATAGATAGCTTTTACAATGTTGAGGTATGTTTCTACTGTTCCAAGTTTTTATAGTGTTTTGAACATGAAAGGGTGCTGTATTTTGTCAAATGCTTTCTCTGTATCAATTGATAAAATCATATGATTCTTTAAATCTATTGATGTGATCAATTATATTTATTGCTTTCCATATGTTGAACCAACTTTGCATCCCTGGAAAGAACCCCACTTGATCATGGTGTACTACTTGTTTAATATGCTCTTGTATGCAGTTTGCCAGAATGTCATTGGGAATTATTGCCTCAATATTCATCAGGGATATTTGTCTGAAATTTTCTTTCCTTGATGTGTCTCAGCCTGGTTTTGGTATCAGGATGATACTGACTTTGTAGAGTGAGTTCAGAAGGACTACTTCCTATTCTATTTCATGGAATAATTTGAGGAGTATTTGGTATTAATTCTTCCTTGTAGGTCCTGTACAACTCAGCTGTGAATCTGCCTGGTCTCAGGATTTTTTTTTGATAGGCTTTTGATGCTGTCATCTAATTCCTTGCTTGAAATTGATATGTATAAATTGTGTATGTTCTATGACTCAGTTTGGGTTGATCATATGACACTGTAGTGTATATTAACTCCAACCACAGTTTCTCTGGCATCAGTCATTGATCACAGCTAAAATCATATTATAAAAATTCATGAGGAAATGAAGCAAGTGGAAACAAAGATTGGTCATGGGTTCTTTCATGTGTGACTTCAGTTGACCTTAATTTTGTAACCCCCCATGTTACCACTTGGCACCATAATGAGCGAATCTATATTCCAAGTACCAACAGGTAAGTTGAGAGGAAAGATGAAGCAGTTAAGTGAAACAAGCAAAACATGCTGAAAATGGTATGGCCAAGAAATTCTGAGCAACATGATCTAGCATTAATGTCATCACATTCTAAATCAGATGATATAATTCTGAAGTAGACTGACAGGGAGATGAGGGCACAACAATTTTGGAGTGAAGAGATGAACACTATTGCTTCCATCCTCCTCCTTCTCCTTTCCTTATTGTAGGAGTTAACCATTTTACTAAATTGATTAATGCCTCAGTTACTCTTTCTCACATGCTCTGAGCAATTCAGCACCCTGCTTTAACAGGTACTAGGTTATTGTGGTTTAGATGATTCCATCAAAGTCCAGAAACCACATAAATCATTTGAATAAGGAAAACTTAATATAGACTTATTCATTCCTGAGGCCCTGGGTTTAATCCCTAGCACTGAAAAAGTAAAAAGAATTAACAATTAAAGGTGGTTTTCTACTAAAAGAAGTAAAAGAAGGCTCCAAAGAATGCAGAAATGGCATACAGAAAGCAGGTACTACCTCTTGGGATGAGGCAGAGTAGCAAAGGAAGGAAACAATGTACGATAGGGTCCCCAGTGAGACTGAGGTTCAGAACTCAATGGGGAAGATGGGACTATGGTCCACTGTAAGGTTGAAAGGTATCTGTAATGCTCCAACTAACCAGGTGTCCTCTTTCATAATACACTCCAGAACACTTCTGACACCAAATGTTTAGAGTTTTCCACACCAAGTTATTCTCCAACTCTCTGCACATATCTGGGTGTCCTATAATTCAATTAAGGAATGAGCAGAAACCCCACAGATTAAGTGCACCCCTTGGTCTTAAAAGTATGCCCACATGACTTACTGACAATCACAAGATGACTCCTCAATTTACTCACCTGTTTCTGAAATTCCTGTCACCGTAGGTAGAAAAACAGCCCACTATGGTGGCCCATGCCTGTAATCCCTGAGGCAGGAGTATCACAAGTTCCAAGCTTATGGTCAAAGCTTGCTGTAATTCATCTTGCATCTGAAAATTCTCTTTTTTATTTATGTTCACTCAAGTAATACTTCTGTTTTCTCAGTTGTAGTATTGACACAAAAGGGAAATGGAGAGAAAAGTCAAAGAGGGTAGCAGGAAGTGTGGATATGATCAAAGTACATTATATGCATGCATGGAATATATCAAAGTAAAACCCAATATTTTGTATGATGAATATGTACTAATAGCTTTTTTTAAGGAGGGGGGGGGGTCTATTGCCTTTTCTTTAATTCCCTGGATTAACATATCACAACATTCTCAATGGTACCAGAAATTTACCTTGTTATGGAATAAGAGGTATGTTTTATTCATCCGAAATAGGAAGCAGATAATATAGAATGTTGGACTCTTCTCTTAAAACTCCATCATTCATTGGAGTTTGGAACTGAAATATTCTCCAAAGGATCATCTGTTAAAAGCTTGGTCCCCAGCTGGTGGCCTTTTTAGGAGGTGGTAGAAACTTGAGGAGGTGGGGACTAGGAAACAGGAAGGAAGTAGGTAACTTGGCTGTGTCCTTGAAGACAGTCTTGTCCTGGGCCCCCTGTTTCTCTTGCTCTTGCCTCCCTGAACCCTTGCCTTCTATCTTCCATGAGGTGAGACACTTGCTCCATCACCTGTTCCCTGTCATCACATGACATTCTGCCTCAGAAACAATGGAGCCAGGTGACTATGAACTGAAACCTCTAAGACTGGGAGGATAATAAATCTCTTCTCCTTCAGGTTGATTTTCTCACAGAGAAAAAAAAAGGTGACTAACACATTATTCATTTCTCTGGAAATTTCTGGATGATAAACTTTCTATCATCTGCAGAAATAGAACAAGTGACCATTCTCAACCTCAAGGTTCCTCTACAAACATTCAAGTCCAGTAATGTGTGTCCCATTTGTTTGATTTTTTCTTGAGATAGGGTACCACTATGCTGTCCAGGCTGGTCTCAAAATTATGGGCTAAAGTGATCCTCCTACTTTAGCCTCCCCAGTAGCTAGGACCACAGGTATGTGGTGCCACACCTGTCTTAAATACATTTTAACCAAAAAAAAACAAAAATGGCTCCTCATAGTTAAATTCCACATTCCCTAAGCCAGTTCCAAAACAGTCAAATTTTTTCTTCTGCTATCTGAATATAGGACATGAATAGAACTCTCATAACCACACATATGAAGTCTGAACACAGAGCAGGAGGACAAGCCCAGTGAGCCTTCCAAGTATCATCTCAGGAGATTTTGCCACAGGGAGTCTGTAGCCAAAGGAAAGGCAACAGTGGGGGATCAAGGACAGCAAGGGACCCTGTGGGAACAAAACCTGAAAGTTTCAGGGAAGTAATGGAGATTCAGCCTCTGGGTGAGCACCATCAACACCACAGCCAGCGTTGAACCCCTCCATTGAGGTGCTCAGGATCGCCTCTAAAGGAAATGAATTGTCAAGCTGTATAGGGAGCCCCTCAGACTCTCCATGGAGCAAATTGTCATGGACACATCTCCATACATAAACATGAAGTATGGAAAGAGAGTTCCACAGAAGGAAACTGGAGGGAAAGAGAAAATATGAAAACCATCCATCAAGTTATAGAAGGAGACATCCCCTTCACTGTAGTCCAGGAAAACCCCCACCCTGGCAGGGATTTTGCCTAGGAAATAACCAAGTCACAGGATCAGTCCAGGCACAACATCTATCCTTAAACTTCCCCAGGACCTAAAACCCTCTATCTGGTAATTCCTCATGCCAATCTATTCTTTTCATATCTTTCCTTCAGACTCCCAGAGTCCACCTGCTGAACCATCCTTTCTCTATCACCACTTCCCAGTAACATCTTCCTGATATGATGCCCTCAAAATCCAACACACTGCATTTCTCATATGTGCATATGCATCTTTTCATTAGACAGAAAGCCTGTGGTGATCAGAGTCTGGATCCAGAGTGACAGGCCTTGTTGAGAGAGTTATCAATCATGCAAAGTCCTCCCCTGCCCCAATAAAAAGCACACAGACACCCACCACCTCATAGCCACAGAGTTGCCTGAACTGAGGAGGGGATAAGCTTCCTGCAATATGAGTCTTTTAACTCAAGGCCATGTTCTCAAACAGGAGAAAGAGCCAGAGGCTGATTTTAGGGGGGGTAGATTTGTGACAGGACCCTTGAGAACCAGTACCAGTGTTGTGACCATCACTTCTGCCATGGTAACACTGTTGGTGATGCCAGCATCTGAATCACCACAGAGAACTTAAGGAGAAGCCAGAAGCCATGAGGGCAACAGGAGGAACATCTAGAAGCACACAGTCACTCATAGGCTTGGAACCATTCCTTCCGTCAATCTACGAGAGAACACAGATCTCATATCAGGGATTTGCAGAGTCTCTACACATCAGGGTCAGCACCCAGTCTTCTGAAACACAGCAATGTGGAAGGAAGAAGGGAAAAGCTATGTGAAAACATTCTGCTGCTGTATATTTACACACACACACACACACACACACACACACCTCACACATTCTGCTGCAGCTTTCCCATGAAGACTAAGCCCAAAACCTTAACACCCCAGGATCAAAACAGTGGATATAAATCTGAAAGGTCACTGTTCAGATTTAACTACTAAATAATGCTTTTCTCAAGGCACAGACACACAACCATCCTGAAAACTGGGTTATCAAGAGATTTAATTGATGTTGTCAAAATTTCCAAGACCTCCAATTACTTATAAAGAACGGACTGTGAGTAGACTACCATGGGAGATAAAGTCCAGAGGCCCAGATCCACCCACGCCAGCATCTGTGGGGCCCAGGGGCATAGCAGGCCTGGTCCACACCTTTCCTGGTGGGGCAGACACTCGCCAGAGCTGAGCCTCTGGTGAAGAACTGCCCCTTCTAACCAGTGGACTACCATGGGAAGCGAGAGCCATCCCAGACTGCCCACACCAGTCCACAAGGGATCCAGGCTCTCAGTAGGCCCAGTCCACCCCTCCACAGGTGGGGCAGGCACTGGCAGAGCCTAGCCTTAGGAGCAGGAATGTCCCTTCTGACTGGCAGAAAACCTTGGGGGGTAAAGTCCAGTGGCCTATATCCACTCACTCCAACATATGCAGGACTCAGATCCAGGATGCAGTTGCATTCATTGAGGGACACCAGCAGGGTCTGGAAGCCCAAAACCAAGGTAAGGTAAGACAATCTTCACAGGTACTACAAGAATATAGGGAAGAAACTTTAATATCTCAGATCCACACTGCAAGAAAGGAAGACACACAAGACAACATGAGAAAACAAGGGAGGAAGGTGCCCCCAAACAAACCAGGATACTATAATAACAGAACCCATGGACAGCAAAGTTCATGAAATGTGAGAGAAGGAGTTCAAAAGATTCATAATTAAAATGATCTGTGAAATACAGAATGACCTAAATGAGCAAACACAGGCAAAAATAGATCACTCCAACAATGAGATAAGAGAGAAAATACAGGTAGCAAAAGATTACTTCAAGAGAGAGATACAGCCCATGAAAAAAACAGTCAGGAATCCTTGAAATGAAGGATACAATAAATCAAATAAAAAACTCAATAGAAAGCATAACAGACTAGATTACTTGGAAGAAAGAACATCAGATAATGAAGACAAAGTATACATTCTGGAAAATAAAGTTGTTCACACAGTGAAGAAACTTAGAAACCATGAACAGAACATCCAAGAATCATGGAACAGCATCAAAAGACTAAATCTAAGAGTTATTGGGATAGAGGAAGGCACAGAGTTTCAAACCAAAGGAATGCACATTCTCTTTAATGAGATAATATCAGAAAATTTTCCAGACATGAAGAATGAATTGGAAAACCAAATACAAGAGGCTTACAAGACATCAAATGTACAAAATTACAACAGATCTGGTCATTTTGATAATATTAATTCTGCCTATTCAAGAGCAAGGTAGATCCAATCCAACACCTAGATAATAAATAATATGGTACTGAATGAACAATGGTTTACAGAAGACATCATGGAAGAGATTTTAAAAAAAATTTAGAGGTAAATGAGAACAGATACAACATATCAAAATCTCTGGGACACTATGAAAGCAGTTTTAAAAGGAAAATTCATTGCATGGAGTTCATACCTTAAAAGAATGAAAACTCAACAATAAATTACTTAACATTACATCTCAAAGCCCTAGAAAAAGAACAACAAATCAAAACCAAAATCAGCAGAAGACAGGAAATAATTAAAATCAGAGCTGAAAGCAATAAAATTTTAACAAAAGAAATAATTGAAAAAATTGACAGAACAAAAAGTGGGTTCTTTGAAAAAATAAATAATATTGACAGTCCCTTAGCCATGCTAACAAAGAGGAGAAGAGAGAAAATTCAAATCACTAACATACATGATGAAAAAGGAAATATCACAACAGACAACACATAAATACAGAAGATAATCAGAAATTATTTTGAAATCTTTTACTCCAATAAATAGAAACTATCAAAGGCATTGACAAATTTGTAGATTCATATAATTTGCCCAAATTAAATCAGGATGATATACACAATTTAAACAAATCAATTTCAAGTGACAAAATGCAGATGCCATCAAAAGTCTACCAACCATGAAATGCCTAGGACCAGATACACAGTCAAGTCCTACAAGACCTTTAAAGAATAACTAATACCAGTACTCTTCAATTTATTTCAGAAATAGAAAAAAAAGGCAGCATTTCCAAACTCACTCTACAAGACTCATCTTATAGAAAAAGACATATCCCTCTGATTCCAAAACAAAGCAAAGACACAACAAAAAAAGAAAACTTCTGACCAATATCTCTAATGAACATATATTCCAAAATTCTCAATAAAATTCTGGAAAATCAAATACAAAAAACATATCAAAAAAATCATGCACCATGATCAAGTGGGATTCATCCCATTAATACAAGGTTAGTTAAACATACAAAAATCAATAAATGTAATTCATTACATCAATAGACTTAAAGAATCATCTCCATAGACATAGAAAAAGCATTTGACAAAATATAGAGTTCAAAAACTCTATAAAAACTAGGGATAACAGAAACATATATCAACATCATAAAGGCTACCTATGCTAAGTCCCAGGCCAACATCATTCTAAATGGAGAAAACTTGAAGGCATTCCCTCTACAAATTGGAACAAGGAAGATCGAAGATGGCGGAGTACAAGAGATACCGTTTTCTGGATGCTGTGTGCTGCAGCTGTGTGTAGCTTCTCCATAGGCACTCGCCTTGACAGAATACAGCATCTCAGAGTGTGTGACAGGACCACATACAGTGTATTTTCACAGAATCCACCAGTGCTGCGAACACCACACAGAACTCAGAGACTCTGTCTTCCGGTAAGATTTAGACTCCATTTCCAAATCCCACAGTTTGAGCACATGAGCAGCTCTCAAGCAGCGAAGTAAAAACATTAAATAAGGACCTGTGCAGAGCTACAGAACTCCAGACTACACTCTTCTCCAAAGCAGGTCACCAGACAACTTTCTAGCAACAGCACAAGGACATCCCAGCTACCCACACCAGACACCCCTATGCATGAAACATACGTGGCTTCATCTTGAAAAATATTTCTCGCCATCTTTTGGTGGTCATGGCTACCAGTCTGGATGAATATGCGACTGAACAGGTATCTGGATTCCAACTCTCAATCCCCTCAGCTGTGATGATTTGGCACAGTTACTTTCCAACACAAAAACAGCTCTCAGTTGACAGGTGTGCAGTATGACCAGGGCACTGCCCACCTGGTGCAAACCAAGGGCGAAGAGCAAGAAATCCCACAGTTGAGACCTGATAAGCAATAGAGAGGAGGGATCTAAAAACTCAGAGCAACTCAGAGAAACCAAGATTAGGGAAGCTCCAGGCAAGAGAGGGAGAGCTCAAGTCTTCTCACACTGATTACCAACACCACGGTGAGGGCAGAGACTCAAGCTTGGAATAGAGAGCTCCAACTACTGGAAGAAAAGAGAGGAAAACAGAATTCTAATAGTATTTTTGTTTGTTGGTTGGTTTGTTTGTATTTTTTTTTTGTTTTATGTTTGTTTGTTTTCTTCTCTTCCATTTTATCCTTTTTCTTTCTCCTCTACCTTTCCTACTCTGGTCCTCACAACCTCCGTATATGTGAAACCAAGAATATTGCATGAAATGGAACTTTAAGAATTTAGTCACCAGAATGATATAATATAGAGGAATTGCATAAGCATCCCCCTTTTTTTTCTTTCTCTCCCTCTCTCTTTTCTCTTTCCTTCTTTCCTTTTTATTTTTCTTCCTTCTCTTTTCCTCTTTCAACCTACTAATTTTTATTATTTTTACTTCTTGTAATTTTCTAAATACATATATGTGTTTGTTTTTATGCATTCTACTGTGCTCCAACGTACATGTCTACCCTCCTGTCTATTCCCCTGCTACTAACTCTCTTCATTAGAGTTCTCCTCCAAATTTCCTACATTATATTAATCCCATACCCTCATATCTTTCCCCCTTAATATAACGTCATAAGCCCAACACCCAGTTCTCTGTCTGCCACCAGAAACTGTACAACTTTTATAAAACTACTGATTATATTTTAAATAATAATTGAATCCAAAATTTCTAGATATTGAGACTAACTAAAATGTCTTAATAACAATAATTTGTTCATAGGTGATGTACTGTTGATATTGGGAACTGTCAACATTGTCCTTCCCCACAAAGGAAGGATCTTGGAACTACAAGAGCACTACAAGTCTATAGAATATGAAGCAAAAACACCCCAGTTCCACAGAGCTGGAATGAAGCACAAGCAACATGAAAAGACAAGGGAAGAAAATAGCACAAATAATTTAAGACAACACAAAAAATTAACAGCTACAGCAGAAAAAATTACAGAGAAAGATTTCAGGATATACATGAATTAGATGATTTGGAATCTTAAAGAAGACATTAGATAATACAGACAATGAAAAATCACTTTGCCAATGAGCTACATAAACAGATCCAAGAAGCAAAGGTCACCTCTATAGGGAGATAGAGGTTATACCAAAAACAAAACAGAAATGCTTAAAATATAAGAAATAATAAACCAAATTAAAAATTCAAATGAGAGCATTACAAGCAGAGTAGACCACTTAGAAGACAGGACATCAGACAGCAAAGACAAAGTATAACATCTTGAAAAGAATGCAGACAGCACAGTGAAAATAATAAGAAACCACAAGCAGAATATCCAAGAAATAAGGGATAGCATAAAAAGACAAAATTTAAGTTATTGGAATAGAGGAAGGCATGGAGGTCCAAACCAAAGAAATGAGCAATCTGTTCAATGAAATAATATCAGAAAACTTTTCAGACATGAAGAATGAAATGGAAATCCAAACCCAAGAAGCCTACAGGATGCCAAATGTGCAAAATCAAAACATATCCACACCAAGACACATTATAATGAAAATGCCCAACTTCTGTATTATTCAGAATAAAGAGAGAATTTTAAAAGTCACAAGAGAAGGGAAACACATTACATATATAGGTAAACCAATTAGGATAAAGGCAGATTTTCAATACAGATCCTGAAGGTTAGAAGATCTTGGAACAAGATACAGCAAGCTCTGAAAGATAATGGGTGCCAACCAAGAATCTTGTATCCAGTAAAACTAAGCTTCAGATTTCAAGATTAAATTAAAACTTCCCACAATAAACAAAAGTTAAAAGAATTTACAGCTAGAAACCTGGCACTGTAAAACATCCTTGGCAAAATATTTTATGAAGGGGAAATAAAACACAACAATGAAAATCAGCAGATGGTAGGCAGTAACCTAAAGGAAAAACTAATCGAAGAAGAAAACCAGTTCAAGTAAAATAACAAAAATAAACAAATATGGCTGGAAATACAAACCATGTCTCAATAGTAACTCTAAATGTTAACGGCTCTAACTCACCAATCAAAAGACATAGGCTAGAAGATTGTATTTAAAAAAAATATCCAACAATATTCTCCTCCAGGAAACTCATCTGATAGGAAAAGACATACACAGACTGAAGGTGAAAGGTTTGGAAAAATGATACCATTCACATGGATTGCAGAAGCAAGCAGGAATCTCCATACTCATATCAAATAAAACAGACTTCAGCCAAAGTTAATCAAAAGGGATAAAGATGGACATCACATACTGCTCAAGGGAATCATACACCAACAAGACAGGACAATCATAAATATATATGCTATAAACAATGGTGCCATCTATATTCATCAAACAAACTCTTCTCAAGGTCAAGAGTCAAATTGACCACAACACAATAATCATGTGTGCCTTGAACACATCTCTCTTACCACTGGACAGATCTTCCAAACAAAAGTTGAATAAAGAAACAATATAGCTCAATAACACAATAAATAACTTAGACTTAACTGACATATATAGAAATATATTAACCAGCATCAAGCAGATACATTTTCTTCTCAGCACCACATGGATCCTTCTCAAAAATAGACCATATACTATACCACAGGGCAACTCTTAGCAAATACCAAGGAGTAGAGATACTACCATGCATTTTATCAGATCATAATGGAATGAAGTTGGAAATCAATGACAAAATAAAGAATGAAATTTCTGCATCACATGGAGCCAGAACAATCTGCTACTGAATGAACAATGGGTTACAGAAGACATCAAGGAGGAGATTAAAAAATTCTTAGAGGTAAATGAGAACACAGACACAACATATACAAATCTCTGGGACACTATGAAAACAGTACTAAGAGGAAAATTCATTGCATGGAGTTCATTCCTTAAAAGAAGAAAAAGTCAACAAATAAATGACCTCACACTACATCTCAAAGCCCTAGAAAAAGAAAAAAAAAACATCAGTAGCAAAAGTAGTAGAAGGCAAGAAATAATTAAAATCAGAGCTGAAATGAAATCAAAATAAAAGAAACAATTGAAAAAATTGACAAAAATTAAGTTGGTTCTTTGGAAAAATAAATAAAATTGACAGATCCTTAGCCATGCTAATGAAGAGAAGGAGAGAGAGAGAGCTCAAATCACCAGCATATGTGATGAAAAAGGCAATATCACAACAGACACTACAGAAATATAGAGAATAATTAGAAATTATTTTGAAACATTATACTCTAATATAATAGAAGACAGTGAAGGTATTGATATATTTCTTAAGTCATATGATCTGCCCAGATTGAGTCAGGAAGATATACACAACTTAAACAGACCAATATCAAGTGAGAAAATAGAAGAAGCCATCAAAAGACTACCAACCAAGAAAAGCCCAGGACCGAATGGATACATAGCCGAGTTCTATCAGACCTTCAAAAAAGAACTAATACCAATACTCTTCAATTTATTTCAGGAAATCAAAAAAGAGAGAGTACTTCCAAACTCATTCTATGAGACCAATATCACCCTGATTCGAAAACCAGACAAAGACACTTCAAAGAAAGAATACTTCAGAACAACATTTCTAATGAACATAGATGCAAACATCCTCAATAAGATTCTGACAAATTATATAGAAAAACATATCAAAAAGATTGTGCACCATGATCAAGTGGGATTCATCCCAGGGATGCAAGGTTATTTCAACATATGGAAATCAATAAATGCAATTCATCACACCAATAGACTTAAAGATAAGAATCATATGATCATCTTGATAGATGCATAAAAAGCATTTGACAAAATACAAACACTGCTTTATGTTCAAAACACTAGAAAAACTAGGGATAACAGGAACATGTCTCAACATGCTAAAGGCTATCTACACTAAGCCAACATCATTCTAAACAGAGAAAAATTGAAGGCATTCCCTCTAAAATCTGGAACAAGAAATGGATGCCCTCTTTCACCACTTCTATTCAAGATAGTTCTTGAAACACTGACCAGAGCAATTAGACAGATGAAAGAAATTAAAGGAATAAGTATAGGAAAAGAAGAACTTAGAACTAGCACTATTTGTTGATGATATGGTTCTATACCTAGAGGACCCAATAAACTCCAACAGAAAACTTCTAGAACTAGTAAATGAATTCAGCAGAGTAGCAGGATATAAAATCAACACCCATAAATCAAATGCATTTCTGTATGTCAGTGACAAAGTCTCTGAGAAGGAAATAAGAAAAACTACCCCATTCACAATATCCTCAAAAAAAAAAAGATTCTTGGGAATCAACTTAACAAAAGAGGTGAAAGATCTGTACAATGAAAACTACAGAAGCCTAAAGAGAGAAATCAAAGAAGATCTTAGAAGATGGAAAGATCTACCTTGCTCATGTATAGGCAGAATTAAATTATCAAAATGATTATACTACCAAATCACTATACAGGCTTAATGCAATTCCTATCAAAATCCCAATGGCATTCCTCATAGAAATAGAAAAAAGCAATCATGAAATTCATCTGGAAAAATAAGAGACCCAGAATAGATAAATCAATTGTAATCAGGAAGAGAAAAGCAGGTGGTATTGCTATACCAGACCTTACTACAGATCAATAGTAACAAAAACAGCATGGTATTGGCACCAAAAACAAGCCAGTAGATCAATGGTACAGAATAGAGGACACAGAGACTGATCCACAAAATTACAATTACCTTATATTAGAAAAAGGTGGCAAAAAAACATTCACTGAAGAAAAGATAGCATCTTCAACAAATGGTGCTGGGAAAACTGGAAATCCATACACAACAAAATGAAATTAAACCCCTACCTCTCATCATGCACAAAACTTAACTCAAGATGAATCAAGGATCTAGGAATGAAACCAGAGACTCTGCATCTAATAGAAGAAAAATTTGGCCCTAATTTTCATCATGTGGGATTAGGCCACAACTTCCTTAATAAGACTCCTATAGCACAAGAATTAAAAACAAGAATCAATAAATGAGATGAATTCAAACTAAAAAGTTTTTTCTCAGCAAAAGAAACAATAGGTGAGGTAAACAGAGAGCCCAAATCCTGGGATCAAATTTTTACCCCTCACAAATCATATAGAGCACTAATCTCTAGGGTATATAAAGGGAAGGGGAAGGGGATTAGCAAGGATGGTGGAATGTGATGGTCATCATTATACAAAGTACATGTATGAAGACTTGAATTGGTGGCCACATACCTTATATACAGAGATATAAAAATTTGATTTATATGTGTATTAAGAATTGTAATGCAAAAAAAGAAAAAAGTACATGTATAATGGCATAAATTGTTGTGCACATATTTAAATACAGAGATACAAAAAATGGTGCTCTATATGTGTAATAAGGATTACAATGCATTCCACTGGTGTTGTGTACTTTAAAAAATAATAAAATCAATTTAAACAAATAAAAAATAAAAACTGGAACAAAGCAGGGATGCCCTCTCTCACCACTTCTATTTAACATAGTTCTTGAAATGCTGGACAGAACAATTAGGCGAAAGAAATTAAAGGGGTACAAAAAAACCGAAGAATCAAATTGGCAGTATTTGCTGATGATATGATTCTATACTTGGAAAACCCTAAAAGTTCCACCAGAAAACTTCTAGAACTAGTAAATGAATTCACCAAAGTAGGATATAAAATCAACACCCATGAATCAAAGGCATTTCTGTATATCAGTGACAAATCCACAGAAAGGGAAACGAGGAAAACTACACCATTTTATATAACCTCCAAAAAATTAATTACCTGGGAATCAATTTAAAAAAAGAGGTGAAAGATCTATATAATGAAAATTAAAGAACCCTAAAGAAATCAAAGAAGACCTTAGAAGATGGAAAAATCTATCTTGCTCTTGGATAGGCAGAATTAATATTATCAAAATGACCATACTACCAAAAGCACTACACAGATTTAATACAATTCTGATCAAAATTCCAATGACATTCCTCATATAAATAAAAAAAGCAATTTTGAAATTCATCTGGAAAAATAAGAGACCCAAAATAGCTAAATCAATCCTTAGCAGGAACAGTGAAGCAGATGGCATCACTATACCATTTTAGAAAACTTTTGGTTTACAGCTAGCAGCTACGGGCAGCTCAGAGTGCTAGGAAGACCTATGCTTTTACAGAAACACCTGCAGGAGGGGGCGGCTGTGCTCTAGCAAGCTGTCAGTGAAACCATATCCTCAGTGCTTGATGTCAGCATTGCCAAGCTACAAGGCCAGGAAACCATGAGTTAGGTGCATCGGGGCATGAAACCCCTAAAAAGGTCCCCTCCCCTAGGGACAATGATCCTTCCAGTCTGCCTTCCACCATATAGCAATATTTACAGCTTCCTCATAGTGTGGCTACATTAATCATAAGATGATTAGTTTCTACATGTTATATAACCTGATTGCTTAAGTATGATTGGAAGATGTATTCTATAGCAATTGTAATCACTTCCACATTAAACGAGATTGCCTGGAGTTCAACAATGGTTGTCACCTGCCAGCTCTCACCAGCTCCTGGTATCTGTGTGTTGACTCTGCTGCTGTTACTCACATGATTGAGGTAGCAGAGAGACCAATTGATCACACCAGTAACCAGCACACACACAATACCAGACCTTAAACTATATCTACTACAGAGCAATAGTAACAAAACAGCATGGTATTGGCACCAAAACAGACTGGTAGGCCAATGGTACAGAATAGAGGACACAAAGAATAACCCACAAAATTACAATTATCTTAGACAAAGGTGCAAGAACATGCATTGGAGAAAAGATAGCCTCTTCAACAAATGGTGCTGGGAAAACTGGAAATGAAATTAAACCCCTATCTCTCACCATGCACAAAACTCAACTCAAAATGGATCAAGGACTTAGAAATGAAACCAGAGACCCTGTGTTTAATAGAAGAAGAAATAGGCCCTAATCTCCATAATGTGGGGTTAGACACAACTTCTTAATACGACTCCTGTGGCACAAGAATTAAAATCAAGAATCAATAAATAGGATGAACTCAAACTAAAAAGTTTCTTCTCAGCACAAGAAGCAATCTGTGAGGTGAATAGAGAGACTACATCTTGGGAGCAAATCTTTACCCCTCAAACATAAGAAGAACAGTAATCTCTAGGGTTTATAAAGAACTCAAAAACCTAAGCACAAACAAAACAAAACAAAACAAAAACAAATAAGCCAATCAATAAATGGGCCAAGGACATGAACAAACACTTCTCAGAAGATGATGTACAATCAATCATGAAAAAAAATACATGAAAAAATATTCAACATCAGTAGCAATTAGAGAAATAAAAGTCAAACCACTCTAAGATTTCATCTCACTCCTGTTAGAATAGCAGCTATTTTGAAGACAAACAACAATAAATGTTGGTGAGAACATCGGGAAAATGATACATACACTGCTGGTGGGACTGAAAATTGGTGCAGCCAATATGGAAAGCAGTATGGAGATTTCTTGGAAAATTGGAAATGGAACCACCATTTAATCCAGCTATCCCTCTCCTTGGTCTACACCTAAAGGATGTAAAAACAGAATACCACAGGAACACAGCCACATCAATGTTCATAGCAGCAGAATTCACCATAGCTAACCTGTGGAACCAACATAGATGCCCTTCAATAGATGAATAGATAAAAAAATTGTGGCATGTATACATAATGGAATATTACCCAGCAATAAAATATAATAAAATCATGGCATTTGCAGGTAGATGGATGAAGTTAGAGAAGATAATGCTAAGTGAAGTTAGCCAATCTCCCCAAAAAAACAAATACTGAATGTTTTCTTTGATATAAGGAGGCTGATTCACAGTGGAATAGGGAGAGAGAGCATGGGAGGAATAGAGAAACTCTAGATAAGGCAGAGGGGTTGGAGGGGAAGGGAGGGGACACGGGGTTATAAATGGTGGTGGAATGTGATGATCATTATTATCCAAAGTACAGGTATGAAGACACGAATTGGAGTGAATATACTTTGTATACAACCAGAGATATGAAAAATTGTGCTCTATATGTGTAATAAGAATTGTAATGCATTCTGCTATCATATATAAACTTTTTAAAATGTCCTTATAATTAGTCAAAAACTTACTATTGCAATATAATATTAAATTTTTAAAAAATAATAAATGAACAAGATTTTTTCTTTCTTAAAGATTAGTATCTAAATTTGTGCCCCCCATTTGCACTAATACAGGTTCAATCACATACATTGGTACTTCCATCTTTGTTGAGTTGATTCATAGAAACTAGATCATATAAAATGGCTGAGCAGACCCAGATAACCCTTGGAGAAAAGTAAATTTTGCTCATTTTTCACCAAGACATTAGTTGGAATAAAATTATAATTTTATATATAATAACTGACTGAGATCATCAAAGGAGAAGCAAAGTGAGAAGGAAGCAGATAGGGAGAAAAAGAGAAAGAGTGAAAGAAAAAAACTTTTGAGACTTTCTGGTGTGTCAAGTACCATGCTATGCACCTTAATGCACCCTTCCCATAATTCCTGAAGATAATTTTAATTTATAACTCATTGTTATAATTTCATGAACAAGATGAGATCAGACATTAGTTAACCTCACACTATGGACCTGTTAATATGAAAGTGTGGATTCTAGTATGCATAGGTGTTTATTCTTATAAAATAAAAGAGTATGCAAGTTATATATAGAAACTTGTAGATGGTAATTCAGCAGATAATGTGGAGATGAAAAAAACAGACTATTTGATCCTTCTTTTTTAATAAACATGTCCCCAGGAAAATCATTAAGATTCTCAAAGAGTGTTCCTCATACATCTGAATCCAAAGCCTCCTTGATACAATGGCTCACTCTCCTCTGACTCTCACAGTCTATATCCCTGATGTGAAAAAGAAACACCCAGAGCAGGAAAAGGGCATATTATACAAATTCAAATGGCACAGGTCCTAAACTCACGCCCAGAGTTCAAGAGTCCTCTGGATAATCTTTCATTGTATTGGAAACTGCCTTAGCATATGCCTTTCCTAACTGCTACTGGAAGGGGGAAGTGGTCTCATTACCACAGGCAAACTCAATGAAATGATTACTTAGAAATGGCTTAATGGAATTCACATACACACACGTGCGTGCGTGCGCACACACACACACACAATAAATTTACTGAAAACTCTCAAAGATGTATCAAGGAGTTGGTTACATTTCATGCATACAAATAACCCACAAATTCTCTTCACTCTCAACTCTAACCACCTTGGATATGATCCTCCAGCTCTCACTGCTTCAGCACACCCAAAATTTGGAAAGGTAGGTGCATAACTTATGTGGGTATCTTGCTCCAAAATGTAAAACTACTTCCTGTCATAAAGCTAGAGGAGTTTATTTTGCTTCCAGATAAAGCCTATTAGATGACACTGATGGTCTCCCAAACTACCAGGTAAATTTAGGAAGAATTATGTGGAACAATAGTGCTTTGAGCCCTCTTAGTTGAATATTAGTTATTCTTCAACTTGGCAACAAGCATACAGGAGATTATATATGCTTGGCTCTAAAAAGAAAGATGAAACTCCTTTCTGGTTGTGTAATCCATTCACAGATCACCATAATATGTTTAACACTCTGTTTTGATGCTTATTCTGTAATAAAAAGTGTTTTCTCCTAGCATGAGAGATTTTGTTTTAATTATATTTCTCATAAATGACAAACATGTATGAGTAAACCCAGATGAGATTAGGCAAGTTCAACCCCAATTAGTTGAACTCCCTCAGTGCTTGAAAATATACATTTTTATTGCCAGATGCACCTGAGATTGTGGTTGTTTGTTACACAGCATTATTACAGCAGTAGAACTGACATATAATTTTCAAGTGTCCTGCCACAAAACAACAAATGGTTCAAATAAAACCTTGTAAGTCTCTGAAGTCTTCTCTTCCCCTTCCAAACTTTGTGACCACAAATCTACTCAGTTGACTCTAGTTTCTAAACCTGTCTGACCCCTCCTCCCCCACCCCACTGCCATGTCTCAGGTCAGGCCCTCATTCTCTCCACATCATAACTGCACTCCATGCCTCCTTCTTGCTCACCTCCCATCCATCCATTCACAGCTGCCAACATGAGCATTCCCAGCATGGCTCTGTTTAGGATTCCCCCTACTCTGCATCCAAACTCCATAACACAGCACACAAAGCCTTTACTGATCTGGTAACTGCCTTCCCCTCCATCACTTCTCCCCAAACTCCACCACCTGAGACCATCAGGGCCCACACACTCAACCCCAAGAACTATCTGGTCAAGTGCAAGTAGCCACAATCACCATGTTGTATGCCCTCTGCCTTTTCACCTTCCACCCCATAAACCTCCAGGGCTCTTGTGCCAGCCCAGGTGTCCACTCCTAAGGACCTCATCCTGACACCTGTGAGTGATGTTAATACAGGACCATCTCTTTGTTCCAGTAATACCACTATTACCATCCTCTCCCTCACTCCTACTATCAACCATGATGGCCTCATTATACACAGAATAATAAACCAAACTTCAACTCAAAGGTTTCATACCAGGGGCTCCCTCTGCATTAAACCATGGCCCCCCAGATACCCACCTGGCTAAATACCTACTTTCTTTGAGCCTTGCTCAGACTGTGAATAAGACTCTGCCTGAGCCCCTATGTAACACTGCAGCTTGTCCTAACACCCCAGCCCACATCCTGAGCCCCTTTCTTAATTCTACTTGGTCTTTTATCTTAAGTACTTATCACCTTATAACATCTTGTACTGAATTAATTGTTATAACTTTTGTTCCTTTGTCTCTAGAAGGTGACCTCCTCACTGATGGGATCTCTGTTACACTGATATATCTCTAATGCACAGAACAAGTCCCCACATATTTCAGATGACCCATATACAGTGTTTGTATTAAATCAATGAATAAAAGATGAGCCACTTTTTTCTTCCATTTCACCTATAAAATGTGAGGCAAAATTGGATGATCTCTGATATTCCCACAGAGCCCAGTACTCCCAAGTTCACTAGAATAGAGGTCAAGTAACTAACCTGCCACCTTCACTTCAAAATCAGCCTCATCATAGAAGCTTCCATGTCTGAAGAAGCAGGTGTACATTCCATTGTCAGAAACCCGGACCTTGTGGATGTGCACGGAAGCCTGACCCTCAGTAAGGATGTCCCTCACCAGTGAGGTTCGCCCTCTGTATTCAGCCATCTGCTCCTCAGTCTGTTCCTGTTGGTTCCAGTAGATGAACACTGCCTGTGAGAATGTGGTACGGAACCACCCCAGTTCCATGTTCTCTGCATTCATGGCTGGGAGTAGGGCACAGGGCAGTATGGCATCCTCGCCCAGCACTGCCACAATGGGATGTCGAGGGCCAACAACCTGGAACTGCTCTGTGGACAGAGACATGGGGAGGGAAACTATAGAGACACAGACCAAACAACATAGAACACACAACATCAGGTGGAAAGGCCAGAAAGCTGGGGCAGGGGCCACATGAGATGACCCCGGAGGTCTGATGAATTTAGAAGAGGTTTTCTGATCAAAGTGATGTGGCCAGAAATTATACAAAAGACACTCCCTCATTGGCTTCTGCTCCTGGTCCAAGTCCCTCCCATGAAGTAATCTCAAATTCAGTGGTTCTCAAGATTTCATGCACCAGAAGCACTAGGATGCCTTATACAGCACACATCACTGGACCTCATTCCAGAGCATCACATTCACTAGATCTGGGGTGGACCAATGAATGCACATGTACAACGAGTTCCAAGGATGGTCTGGGGAGCACTCTTTGGGAACCACAGGTCTAACTTGCCCCTTTTCAGGAAAACCTGAAAACAGACCAAGGGCATACCTGTGGCCTAGGTCAGCACTCTTTGATCATTCAGCCAAACCTAGAAAATTCCCCTATTCCTATTCTAAATTTGTTACTTCAGTCTATATTTTTCTCCTCCACTGATGGAGGAGAGAAATATATATGCACTTTAAAACAGAGTCAAATGCTACTTACTTCTGTGAAACTCCTGCTCTTGCAATTCACAGAAACCCCCATCACTGCATGTTCAAGGAGCAAGTTCACCTCACTCTCCACCCCCTTGGTGCTCTTGGTCTTCTGAGGCTACCCATTGTAGCCTACACATGGTTCCCCACTTGTCCCCAGGCTTGACAAGGTGGACCCTCCTTCCCAAGACCCCTCTGAACTCACCTGCTGCTTGTCTCCCCATATGCTCTAGTCCAGCAACGCTGGCCTCTGAGCTTCCTCACACCTCAGCACACTGCCAGCTCTGCACAGGCTCCTTCCCCTGCAGGAACCCTCCTTCCAAATAGTCCTACAGCTCACTTCTCCTTCTCCAGAGTTATGTTCCCATCTACACACCACCTCACTGAACACTGCTGCCTGCCCACACCTGCCTCCCATGCCCCTCACTGTCCAAACCCTGCCCTGTTGCATTTCCAATCATGGTCATCTCTTCCAACACACTTAGGCCTCTCTGCCTAGGTGCTTTTATTACTCACTCTCTCCTGCTAGAAGGTAAACTGTATGACAGAATTTCTGTTTGATTCTTTCATAGAATAGCACTTAATAATCAACATTTCATAAATATTTCAAAAAGAAAATGAATGAATGAATGCTTGCAGCACAAAAAAAGGCAAGAAAACAACAAAAAATGAGGGAAAAATGTATTTTCAAATGTTTTTCTATCTTGATTTTTAAAACCACAAAGGAAGACAAATGGGAACACTCACCTGTGGACAGCTGGACAAGGAAAAGCAGAGAAGTGAGACAGCAGAGCAAGGAGCGACTGCACGACCCCTCCATCTTTAGAGCTGGGGAGAGAGATGGGGATGAGGGCCAAGACCTGCAGGCAGGAGTCAGGTCCAGCCCAGAGCTCCAGCACATCAGCATAGAGAGCAGGGCTTAGGGCTGGACAGCAGTCCCCTGCTGGAGCAAAGCATTCCTATTGGCACATCATACCAACAGGGTGCTGGGACCCCAGAACCCTGATACTGACAAACAGCTGAGTCTGGGCTCCTTCCAGCTTTTCTTAGAAGACTGTGGTATCAGGAAACCATTAGTTACCTGGTAAGAAACTGTTCCTTCCTTTCCAATGCCAACCACGGGGCAGCTCTACTAGGCCCAGAACACCAGGCTCTTTCCTTCCCCATACCTGGAGCTCTGTGGTGGAAACCATTCCTCTAACTCTCTGCTATTGCACACCACTGATAACCCACCAGAAAAGATGGTCAGATTCAGGGTCCCCATCAGGAAGCACATGCAGCTCCTGCTTCCCCCTTGTTCTGCCCCATAGTTATGCCCAGGTTTGACTTGGACAGTGTCAGAGATATTCAAGGAGGCTGTGGTCCCATCACAGAAGCCCAGAACCCCATCTTGCCTTTTTAGATGGGGAGTTCACCTAAACCTGAATCTCAGCCCAATCCCTTCCACTGTGGGCTCAGGACATGGTGCTTCATATGGCAGGTGCCAAGCACTTCCCCACCAACATGTTTGTCCTTGCCTTCTTTTTCTTTGAGAAAGATTTCTGCCTGAGAGGTAAGGGACCCTTCCTGGAGACAGAGCATAGAGATAAAATAGCCCTAGTCAGAGAAAAGACCCCAAATTACCTACTGTTTGGAAGGAGCAGGGAGAAAGCAGTCTGTGGTATAAGGAAGAACAAATTCTGGGAGATGACTTCTAGGCTGCCCTCCAGGCTCAGCCACTCTCACTATGACCTTCTTGGCCTCAGTTTCCTTATCTATATGATGGGCATAGTCACAACTTCTACCTCCCTATTTGTAATAAAAATGACATGAATTTATAGTCACTACATGTAATTAGAACAGGACTGGTCCCAGAAAATGTTACAGAAATATCATTAAAACAAATGAATAAAAGAACAACCCTCATTAAGCTTCTCCTGGTTCTTCCTAGAACAAGACTGTCCCACCTACCCAACCCCACTGCCTCTCACACCACCTCATCCTCAGCTTCTTCCTGCCACCAGCTTCTCCCTGGATTCCTCCTCTTAGGTCACAGGTGTCTTCAAAGCCAACTTACCTGCTTCTCTGTTCTCCCACCTATGAAAGGCTGTGACTTCCTGGAGCGTCTCTAAACACAACAGCTGGAGAAAGGTCAGACTCACAAGGACCCTGGCAGGCCCCAAATCTGCCTTCAGAATCTGCACCTGCCCCAGGCTGCTCTCAGATACCAATCCTTACTTCTGAGTCCAATGCTGGGGGCCCAAATTTTTCATTTCCAAGAGGCAGTTTGTCCCCAGGAAACAGGGAAAAAGCAGAGCCACACATAAGTTGCAGTGATCTCTGCAGAGTCTCTGACACTGGAGACCCCACTAAGCCCTCCCAATCAGAGGAGAAATCCCTCTCTGGCTTCTTCCAACATCTAAAGCGAAAGCTTGCCAAAGGAGCCTGGGCAGAGTGTGCCCTGCCCTCTGGACATCGCTCCCTTCACCAGGAAGAAGGCAGTAGAGCAGAGCAGCAAAAAAAGTGTGCCCACAATTTTCCTGGAACACTGCAGAACAAGCCCAGAATGCCACCACCAATCCCTGCCCAAACAGCAGAATCCTGGAGGCTTAGAGATGTCAGGGAAATCTTACAAAAATAAGAAAACAAAATTATATTGAATCCCTACTAAGTATCAAGAACTGTGCTACATAAACTTTACTTATGGGTCTCATTATCACAACTGCAGAGATAAAGCCATGAGCCCTGCCATCTGGTAACATCAATCTAGTAACTTCCTAGATGAGGGAGGAGCTGGCTGTGCCAAGAGACTGCCTCCCACCACCACATCTCCAGGCCAGCCCAGCCCCCTGACCCAGGTAACTCAAATGAGCAAGATCCTGAAAGGGATTTTGGACTCTCAGTTGCCTCAATTACAGGGCCAGAAAGCTTATCTCACCCTGACCTGAGCATTCTCCCTCCCAAGGTTGCCCTTTGCCTTCCATTTGGGGAGGAGGGGGTGGAAGCAGTGACAAAGTGCAGGTCAGGTCTCCTTAAAGAACACTGGCAGAATCCTTGACCAGCACTGGCAGGGGACACTAAACCTCAGCACTGTCCTCTCCCAGCTCATCAGGATCACCGTTCAGCTGCCTTGACAAGAAACTCTATTCACGAAACAACAAATAATTTTCTTGTATAAACTTAAATGATCCTAATACTAATGAGGTTAATATTAACTTTCTTTTATGAATAATATGTAATAAATACCTCTTATCTTTTTCAAGTATTAAGTGTTTTCTAAATAGCTTCAGATAAATACCTAAACCATAAAACAATGGTTAGTGAAATACATTGAGATTCTAAAAATGTGACAGTTGATATAAAGTACTTAACTCACCCAAACCCCCAATTTTATTGATACTGCGGAATGAACACATCCTGAAATATCCAACCAGAAGTGGCTGAGAGACCTCCCTGTGCCTCTCTCTCTCTCTCTTATTGGAGCCAGGACCTGGCCCAGCCATCCTCCCCCCGAATTCAGCTGCTGAGCCCTCCTGGCTAAGGCACCTGCCCCACCACCCTCTGCATGAGCATCCACCCCTTCCTCATCTGAGATTCCAGGGACATAAAGTATCCCTCCCACTCAAGCCCTGAGATAGAAAAGGGTAAGGGAGTGAAGTCAGAAGGAGAAAAATATACATTTCTATAGAAAATTGAGTGAAATGTATTAGATTAATGAAAAGCAAACAATAAATAAAAATTTAAATGAAAAGTCAGCAGACTGAGAGAAAGCTGGCATGAAAAGGAAGGAGCACGGCTGGGAGTCTGGTTCAGTGGTTGAGCTCTTGCCCTGCACTTGTGAGGCACTGGGTTTGATCATCAGCACCACATAAAAATACATAAAATAAAGGTATTGTGTCCATCTACAACTAAAAATATTTAAAAAAAAAAAAGAAGAAGAAGAAGGGTCGAGGGGCCTGGCATTGGTCTGACCTATCAGGAGATGAGACACCAGAATGAACACATCAGCCCAGAGTATCTGAAACTTGTTCCCCAGTTACTGCAATGTCAGATCAGTTGCAGAGAGCCAGCACAGGCACTGATCATATGTGTGACCCATCAGTGACCCAGGAAGAATTTACTGACCCTCCCAATCCCAGGTAGATCAGGCCCATGTACAGTCAAGGGTGAAACAGGTGAGTCACAGTGGAGGGATTTCAGAACTGGGTCATGGAAAAGGCCTAGTTGTCTCAAATGTTGACCTATGCCCCTCAGAAAAGTAGAGAGGGGCCCAGGGCAGGAGAGTCCATGTCCAGCCCCAAGAGGCACATTCTAAGAGTCCTTGGGATGCTGCACACCCTGTTCCTCTCCTGACACAGAGACTCCTCCCACCAGGCACAGCCAGGGCCTCTGCTCTTTAATAACCACCAAGAAATACTTAGGCACACCATTCACTGAGAGCTGAGGGATGGAGCCTCTACAATAGTGGAAACTTTCCAAGGTCATAGGGTCACATGGACAAACACTGACAGGAGCAGGACTGCCTCCAAAGCACAGTCTAAAACAGTTTGGGGCACCAGCCCTTGGTGTGTTCCAGAGACCTGAAGGGCAAAAGGGGAGGCAAAGATTATGTTAGAACTTCTATCATAAAAATTTTACTCTTATATTGTTAGAGTCTGTAAACAAGTCTGGATGGTGCCTGGCATTTTGCCAGAGAAATGTGAGAGTCTGTAAACAAGTCTGGATGGCGCCTGGCATTTTGCCAGAGGGAGTGGTTTATGAAGTAATGCCAGCAAGCCATTAAGTATGGAGATTCCTTATTGGTTGACTGCTGTATCTAGTTTATGTTAATTAGATAAGCTGTGTGGAATGTATAAATACCCCTCCTGTCCTACAATAAACGGCTCCCACTCCTGCTGTATCAATCTACACAAGTTCCTTGTCACCCCCCCCCGGTTATTTTGCTGCAGCCGGACTACGGCATTATATCTATTTTTTTTTTAGCTGAATAGTATGTGTACATATTTGTTAAGTGCAAGTTCAAAATTCATAACTTTAAGGAAGGGCATGTGGGGCTGGGGTTGTGGCTCAGTGGTAGAGTGCTTTCCTAGCATGTGTGAGGTAACTGGTTCAATTCTCAGCACCATATAAAAATAAATAAAATAAAAGTTCATTTACAATAAAAAAAATATTTAAAAGAAAGAGAGAGAGAGAGCATATCTGGAACCATTTGGAAACTCCCTCCCAGAGAGGAAGGAACAACAAGCACCCAGCAAGAGCATGCTCTGTGGTTGCCAGATTACTTTGGGCCAATGGAAAGGTCACCCAGGCAGTCTTGCCCAGTTTCTTTGGCCTCTGCTGCCCCTTGTGGCTAGAATGTGGCAGAAAGAAGGGGCAGTTTCCAGAAGGAAGACAGAGAGGGTATGGAGGTGCAGACAAGAAATATTAAAACTGTGGGGAGCTGGGGTTGTTGCTCAGGGGTAGGAAGCTTACCTAGCATATGTGAGGCACTGGGTTCTATCCTCAGCAACCCATAAAAAATATATGAATAAAATCAAGTTTTTAAAAAAATGAATCTTAAAAATGTGGAAGGGATCAAAGGAAACCAGATATAAAATGCCAGATGCTGTATGTTTCCAAATATATGAAATTAAAGAATACAGAGATGGAAGCTATGATGACAGAAGTCTAATGAGGAGCTCTCTGGCATGCTGAGGAGGTAGTTAAGACAGGAAGAGACAGCATGGCACCTTCTAAGATAAAGGAAGGCTTCATATCTTAATCTGGGGTGCTTCCTCAGGTATACACACATGTAAACCATGTAACTGGAAACTGGTGATCAGGGCATTCATTCACTTTCAATGCTAAAAAGAAGAAAAAGCTGAGCACAGTGGACACACCTGTAATTCCAGCAGATCGGGAGGCTTAGATAGGAGGATTATAAATTGGAGGCCAGACTTAGCAATTTAGCAAGAATCTAAGCAACTGAGCAAGACTCTTTCTCAAAATACAAAATAAAAAGGGCTGGGAATGTGCCTCAATGATTAAGCACCCCTTGGTTCAATCCCTACTACAAAAAAATATATGTATAGAAGGAAAGAGTTTATGGAGGGGAAGAGAAAAAAATACTATTCACCTTACACAAAGGTTTTAGGCAGGTAAAACTTATGCATGGCTAAAATAACGCTGAAAAATCCTTATAACACACATAAAGCATACATAAAATTTTTCAGTTTACAGTTAGTCTTCATTATTTGATTAATGTCCAAGTATCCTCTAGAATATAAATTTCATGGTGGTGTAAATGTGTTCCCAAAGCCTGAGATTACTGTGCCTGTCATATCAGGGCTACTTAATAAATATTTTTTCAGTGACTATAACTGATCACATGGATTGCCCTGATGCTTTGGGGTGACTCAGCTCATCATGGTGGGAGCACATGCAGCAGCAAAACCTCTCATCTCATGGCCATGAAGTGAGACACACAAAGAGAATAGTGTCCTAAAAATTTCCTTCAAGGGAACATCCACAATGACCTAAAGAGCTCCAGTTGGCCCCACCTTCTAAAGGATCCACCACCTCCCACTGGCACCAAGGTGGGAGCCAAACATTTAAATGTGGGGACATTGGAGACCCAAATCATAATAGCATGGTACTACTCCATTGTTTCCTGGAAATAAGACCAGAGAGATCCCACCCCTGTCATCCCTCAGAAAAATGACACATCACTTAATAGAGCAAGCAAAAGCCCCACAATACACCCAACAGTGAGTCCAGTCAGATCATCCTTTGTTACACTTTCTGGTGTGGAGCAGGGCAAAATGCCAAAGTCCAGGTCAAAGGAGCAATCTCCAGAGGGAATTAGAGGTTATGGGGCAGGAACCTCCTTCAGAGGTAAGTTGATAAAGGAACAGATGAGCTGTGTACCCTTCCTCATGGTGCTCAGCTCACATAAAACTTTGTTAAAGTATCCTGCTGGTACTGGAAATGATGACGGACATGAAGAATATCTTGATCATAATAGGATTATTAGAGCATCCCTCCAACCCCACTGCAAAGCCCATGTGGCTAGTCAACGTAGAAAAGTAGAGGAGAAAAAGAAGGAAAGAATATAGGACCCAATGGAAGTGAAAGGTTAATGATCTCCCTTAGAACCACTGATCAGATATCTAGTCTGGGATTCACTCAAGAGTCTCGGATGTTTCTCCAGAGCTTTGTGTGGTGAGAGGACACACAGGAGGTACCAAAGAAGGAAAACCAAAGCCATTTGGGGAGGATGACTCTTGAAAACAGAAACTAACTCTCCCAAACATCCCTTGGCCTTTATGAGAGTCCCTCTCCCTTTGGTAAAGAACTCTGTTTCCCATCAGATGTCCTCTTCACTGATGCAGAGATAATCAGAAAGGTGAGTGGAAAGGTGGTGGACAGCAATGGAAGATTCATACAGAAAATGAGGCAAAGAAAACATTAGCCAAGAAT